CGAGTATGTCCATTTTGAATCAATAATCAAGGCTAGAAGTAATTGAGAAATCGATACACAAACTTCACTCTATGTGAGTGATTTTGTGGGTAATTCGTTTAGTCTAAAAATAGAGAATTGCAATTTTGAAAAAAAATGCAACATTGACGTAAAACCTAGGTTAACTCGAAATGTCTCTCTGCGTTCAATGCTTTACATTGCAATTGTTTCTGTAGTATCATGGGCGCAATGATTATGTTTTGTTTTTTAATAATTGCTCACAAAGTCAACATTTGCTCAACGTTTATTAACTGTTTTTCTATCAGGCATCCATGTGGCAATAATATACATTGTCAATCGATTGCAAAGCATTCTGGGTATCCAATATGGCTGCCATCGTCGAGAGAAGCCTTTGAATTGCAGCGTTTCCACATAACTTTCTTTACAGTTTTGTAGTTTTTGCATAGAAAACTCAACAATAGAGTTACATATAATCTTACAATAATGTCGCCTCACCTCGGCAGTAGGTTGGAAAAAAAATCTATTTTTAACGACAAAATAGTTATCCGCTAAAAAAGGAAAACAAAATACCAATAAGGCTACGACTCCCCAAGTGAAGGACAAAATAAACTTTTGAGTACGATCCGTACATATCCACCTGGTACCTTGTACTGGCGATGGATCGATAGTAACCTCATACACCAACAGCTGAAATGTATGAACTTCCTAGCGACTATATTTGTAAGGGTTCCCCCACACACTCCTATTTTCAAAATCATCATTTGCGAGGAACGCGTACCGTCTTCTGACCTTTAAGAAATGCATGTCCCTCCCTTTGCGTCCGAATTTCGTGAAGAGCATGAAGCGAGGAGGTAGAGAAAAATCAATTTCTTCTTCTTTTTTTACCCCTTGGAGCATTTTGCTGTTTTTGATTCGCGTAAACATCTTCGAAGCCCAAAGCCGAAGGGACACAGTTGTGAAATATTCGTGGTTAAAAATTCGACATAAAAAGTACTAGCCGGTCAGATATCGAAATTGTTTCCATCATTAATACAAGAAAACAACGTCAGAATAGCGTAGGAAATTTAAGCACACATTATTACATTATTCAGTGTACTGCCCGAACTGCATCTATCGAGGACACGCAGTAATTTGCAGTCATCGTTCGTGGGCTCTTAAAATTGAGATGACAAACATCGTACGCAGAAAGCTAATTAAAAAACACTGACTCATGCGTTCCGACTGACGCACCTGACTAACAAGATCAAAATAAACGAAAATCCTCAGACGCTATTGACTCGTCACGTTGTGATCAACAAACAGATAAACACAACAGTATTCATAACTGTAGCGGTATACATCCCAACCCACATTGGATTACTGTTTCAAAAACTCTTCCTCTCTCATAATTTGTGAAACCTTTTTGCACACGCATCAGGTTTTGAGGAACAGTGGACACAATTGAAACAGGGTGGCGTTTTTTGTTGTTGTTGGTTCGAGGAAAACTATTTTGTATTTACCTTTACCCAAAACCAAATCGCCCTTCTAATCCGTGTGCCGTATCTCAAGAAGGCCAATGCCTCTCATACTCTTGAAGCAGATCAGATGTCTCCCCCCCCCGTCTTTTTACCGGGTGCTGCTAACATATAAGCTGACCAATTAATATCCCATGGTGGCATTTTAGTTAAGGTTAAAATCCTGTTCCTAGCACAGCCCTTCATCGGGAGTTAACAGGGTGGAAGTTGTATCGGCCACGCTTGGCTTGAGCCGTTGATTGCCTGTCACTTCTGCAAGGTTCCAAACACATCAACGGAGATGAAACGTTCGCTGTATTAAAAGCAAATTGTGTACAACTAGTAATATCTTACATGCGGGTTGTTTCTTGTGTACTTTTCGAATGAAGTCCAGCTAACGGTAGAGGGCTAGCCTATAGTAAAGCTGGTCCTGAGTACACAGAATTGTATTCGTTTTGTTCAGAATGGCTAATCACTAATAGTCTTTCCATGGGGGTCTACCCGATGTTCCCCAATACCTATGTTCCCCAAAATCCTCAGGGTTTATAGGGTTAGATGGTTATAGGTTAGGGTTGGGAACATAGGTATTGGGGAACGTAGGTATTGGGGAACATACGTATGCACCCTTTTCATGCACCTTGTGTATATGCACATAGTGGGCCCGATTATGGGCCTGATTTTGTCCAATACATGGTAATCCAATACAATAGAACTGCCCGGCCCTCTTCACAAGCCAAGTCACACTGACAGTCATTGAGTTAATTAGTCAAGTACAAGGAAAACACAAACTGGCCCTCTGGGCCCAACAACTGGGACTATATTTTGTCCAAATTGTATATTCTCCATGTAGTTGCACAAGGATTTCGCAATTTGTATGCGGATTTATGCGCATTTTGCAATGGTTCAAGTGACTTAAATTAACTCGTAATTAATCTGATTAAGTCAGAAGCAGTTCGTTATTATTGGGATATTATGCATTTTTGATGAAATCTCAATTCGTGAATAAGTAAAAAAAAAAAAAATTGTATTATTTTCTTCATCATTTGGGAGGTCGGGTTCTTATCTTCGCAACTGTACGTAAGATAATTTTTTTTTAAATCCCTTTAGATCAGCAGCATGCATTTTTAAAAGGAATAAAATAAGGAACAAAGCTTTACGGAGGAGACCATGTTGCCATGCGTCTATCCTTTGGTTAAATTATAGTGTAGGCCTGTGGGCTATCCACGGGATCAGTTTGTACGTGTCCGTCAATGTTCATCTCGCTCGCTTAATTTACGTGGTGCCTCACGTAAGGGAAATGTGATGGAAAACCGGAAGGGCTGCACTCAAATTGCTCGTTGCTGATTGTGATGTTTCTATATATTCATTCACAGTACGTCATCAAAGCGTATTGTATAATGGTGGTTGATTGATTCCCAAATTTTCTGCGGAGAAAAGCAGCCCTCTCTGAAAAATGTAAAGAAGAACGAAACAAGACAGAAACACGAGTCCACCGTAGCATGAACACGACTTGTAAATGAATAATTTGTAATTTACTTTATGAAGACTTCATACCCCTGAATGTTGTGTCTGTATAAAGTGACGTACGTTTTTATGTCGTGTTGATATGTTTGTCGCTCCAGACAAAATCCATCATTCCAACATTCACCAGCATTTGACGAGGTTGCAGACACAGCCTGTATTTCTGTATCTCAATCGACAGCTTAGACAGGCTGTGTATATAAATAGGTATATGCCTTATGGATAAGGCTAATGATTTAAAGAAGACACTTTCGCAGGCATGCTTGTAAGACGTAACGGAAACATAATAACTCATATTCTTTGCTTTCGAAATACAAATCACATGCATGTATACGCCGTTAATACTCGGCAAGTAATTACTTTTTTGTACTATACGAGGGCTGATGATGTATACGCACGGTCGCTGCACTTTTTGGCGCCGTACAATGATTACGTGAGGCCGTAAAAAGTCCGAGTCCCGTCTTTTAAAAACACTTCAGAGTGCAAGTATCGCCGTGTCGCCGTCGGGAGGAAACCCCTCCCGCCCCGTGGCTACACCCTCCTCTCTCTCCCTCTTGAGGTTGAATGCCTTGAGTTTGCACAAACAACGAAGAAAGGAGATGCCTGCAATCTTCAACAAAAATGCCTGTGGAAATTTAGAATGTATACATAATCGATAAAAGACGTAATTCCAGCGAAGGATCGGAATTTTACCATAAATTAAAGCAGGGTTACCGTAAGGTTTTGCAGGTTTATCCGGCGTCAAGACCGTTGATAACTCCAAAATGCCATCGCCAGCAGCACAATCTACTAGAAAAAAAATAGCGCACAAGAAGACTGACTTGGTTTTTTTTCCTTCATGATCAAGATGGACACAATTACCTTTCTGACGCAAACGCGTTGAAAACAATGCTTGGCTTAAATAATTTGATACATTAGAATTCGGTCGCATCTGGTTTGACGGAAACCTAGTTCGAAACTAATACGGGCAGACAGCATGGCTCGCGTTTAGACTAAGGAATAGCCACTGAAACAATTAAAGGCACTTGTTATGGGTAAATGATCCAATAATCAACATGTAGTTGGCCTCCCGACGTTAAATTGCTTTACGATCACCAACATCTTGTGGAATTATGACAATAAAACATACAAAAACACTGTGTAATTTTTGTTATTTCCCGATATTATTATATACAAACTTGAAAACGTTTTCTCCAAGTCGGTTATAATTTTATCAGAAATAGTCAGCATGATTTGGTCTGGGAACCAGGCAACGCGCATTGCAGACACAGCGATAAATGCGTGCGTGGAGCAAATAACCGGTTACCGTACGCAACACAATAACCGACTTGGCACCAAGTCTACTTGAGTACTGGTTTGGTAAAGGCCCATATATTTGCTTTAAAAAAAAATGGCCGACCGAAAAACCCATCACCTGGCCGTGCTTGTAAAGGTTCAAAGCATTTTGTTGTCGTATAGATCGTTTGCATTACAGCCATCTTTGAGGTGTGTACTTTTGTTCAGTAGGGATACGCGTGAGTTGACCTTTTGTGCATCAATCATTGTTAATGAATTAACAGTGCAAAAGATGGCAGCCGAATGCAATCGATCTATACAATGCATGTTGAGGAAAACAAGTCAGCATCCTTAAACCATTATAATTACCACTGTGCACCTTTTGCTTAACTTTCTCCCACTTTACTAATCCTCTTGAGTGCCACTGCCGCAGACAGGTAATGATGTGTGTGTTTTTTTTACACAGAAAGAGCAACTGCTCTTGATTACGCCAGACAAGTGTAGTTGTGTGTCTGTCGTAACATTTATTTATAGTTATCATTACCTTTTTGAGAAATGTGATTAAACATTGTAATTGATAATCCATGGGCTAAAGAAGATGTTATGGGCGGCTTTGGACAGTGGTATGGGAAGCACCTGATATTTTAAAGGCGAGTTAAGCAAAGAAGAGACCATACCAAAAAAAAGCCAGTACACTTGTTTTGCCCGCAGACAGAGACGTGGCTGTGCAACATGTGCCAGCGGCGGCGGCGATTCCTGGCCACCTCGGGCCTGTGGCATGTGGGCCGCCGCAACAAGCGATTCTCGGGCTCCAAGCTGCAGCGCCGCAGTAGTTTGGACGAGACAGAAAGCGCGCTCAAACGAGTAAGTCACCGAGACCGAGAGCTTTTGCCGCGTCCGCAGTGGGGGATTTCATCAGCCGAACGAGTGCCGCTTGAATTGTCAATTTCCCAGCGTTTTGCCGTGGCTGTCGGCGATGGAGAGAATAAAAACATGCGTCGGCCTACAGGCCATATTTTTTTAAGCCAGTGGGGGCACTGTAATGGCGGAGTTTTCGGGTTGCAAACAGACGTCAATTCAAGGTTAATGCCGTAAGTTTATACAGGGTGATTAAAAAAACAAGGAAACCCAAATAGCGCCCCCTCTATTGTAAAGAAGTTCTGCATGGAGCGCTTTCAGATCTAGGATGTGAAAACAATAAGTTTTCTTTTAGTACAGGAATCATTCAAATCACTCATATACTTTTTGAGTTATAGAATTATGAACACAAACACAGTGTTAAAATTTAAAATCCATTGATCACATTTAAGTTAAGTGATATTTCAGTAAAATGTAACCATGTATATCATGAAAATGATATCAGAATAATCCCATAAGTCTCCGGGGTAGCCAAGTAGAAGGCAGGTCAAGAATATAAACTCCTGACATCATAGAGCATGTTGTTTTAACATTGGAAAAAGAAGGTGTTTAAATAAAGGTTATGATAAGTGCCAGTTATTATGGTTATGAGAATGAAGTAAATTATTTTCGTTTTGATGACATATCACTTAATACCGATTGAGATCCGTTGACAAATTATATAAATGTGTTTGTGTTTAAAAGGCCATAACTTGAAATTTGGCTTTTTCCATCCTAGATCTTGAACGCGCTAGACGCAGAACTGCTGTAAACACAAAAAAATGGGGGGCGCCATTTTGGTTTCCTTTTTTTTTTTACTCGCCCTGTGTATTGTTGCAACTTTGCAACTCAAATGGTACCTTTTGGAAAGCTTTAATTTCGAGATTAGAGTTACTACACATGTCTTCAATAAACGTGACGTTTTGACTGTTTGCTCCCAGTGAACGGCGTCTATACCGCGCCCCCATTTGCCCAGAAATACAGCCTATTAATCGTAATGAGATTTAGACACAACTTCATTTCCTTATCCACTGGCTAACGCTGATGACAAACAGAATGGTGTTTTGCGATGGCAATCCATCATGGCCGCCGATCCAACTTCCCGTTCGATGAAAACCCTCACAGGGCATGAAAGCGGCGGTCATCGGAACTATATCCGTTTTCCAATTAATGCATGGCATTGATGTAGTGCTGTTCTTGCCAATGCTTTGCTTGCACGTTCCGCTCGAGATGCTTATGATAATATAAAGAGCTTGATGTACATATACATGCTTTGGTGGGGCCGGAACTCGCGAACATTAATGAACCGCCGATACATGCGCGGTTTATGTGGTAGTTTCATGTGCTTGAGTCTGCTAGAGCAAACAGTGCTTGGTGTGTAGAGTTTCATTCGAGAGCTTTTTTTAATGAATATCAACTCGGCGATAACTATTATTTTTTCTTATTTATTTCACATCATTACCTGTCTGTGGTTTTGCACTCTTGATCACCAACCATTATGTATGCACATTTTTTCTTAGACTTTGCTCTTTTGTTTAGTTTATAGTCTCTGAATCGGTATGTCTTCGTAGCCGTGGCAATCTTTCTACGGAAGATGAATGAGTTGACTTAAAAGACAAAGTTCATGTTTTCTCCCAACGTATAATAAGTCGGAGACGAATTTCCGCTGTTGTAAATTTGAAAGCTTGCCGACAGGATTAAAACAAGACATACTGATTCCTGGGAATGCATAGTGTTGCATATTGTTTTCAGCATGGCTTTCGTTAACATATTTATCCCTTATAATATCTAATGATCTTTATTTTAAAGACGGTTGTTTGCTCACCACATCTGGACAAGTATTGACTTTCCCCCAATTTGCATTTCGTGTTCATTGTTTTGTCTAACTGCATTTGTAAATATGGTCACAAAGACCTTGGCGCCCGAAGACAATTTAGTCTTGATGTGTATCTACGATGTTTGCTTACACATAGAGATACAAGCATTGCAGTGCTCGGCAAAGTACTTTCACTAATTACTCGTGGCCGCCAATTTTATCTTATTGTTTTCACTGACGACCGCAGTGCTGACATCGTGACATATTCTTACTAATGGAAGTGTCTTCCACAGAATCGTCGTGTCTAATGGACGCCAACATTCAGAAACGATGATATGATATGGGCTCTGGTTAATTGCAACAAGGACTGGTATCCTAGCAACCAGGCTACGGATGGAGAAATCTGCGCTGCGTATAGTTAAAATCCGTTTGATAAACGTAACTAACTATCACAATCTCTAGGGATTAAAAATTGGAAACAATATGATTAAATTCTGAACGCATGTATATTGAGCAGTGCAAAGCTGAATTATACGCAGTGCTCATACGGGTTTGAAGATTTTACTCGAATCAAGACGTCCTCCGTCAAGCCGTCAGCACATTATGTTAGATTGACTTATACTCTATTTGTATCTCCTTACCCCCAGTCATTCAACTTGATCACAAATCTTGATAAAATTTCATTAATTTCCCTACATCCTTGTAAACGCCTTATTATAGTCAACCCACCATGTTCAGCCATCCGTTGCCCTAACCACCTGTTTTATGGTTCTTTTTGAATGGTGGAATTGACGCCCAGGAAATAAAAGTGTGGAAATAATAAGCCAAAGTGAATCTATAACTACATTGGCCCTATCTATTTGGATTTGACAATTTGTACTTGGGGATCATTAACCATAGAGGCATTAATCAACACAGATGTGTGGTGAGAACTTGCATTGTCCGTGTAAATCAAAGGGGAAGGTGCATACATGCATTTGATACTGTTGCGTTTGAGCTTAACATTGTCTCTAAACACAGTAGGGCCTACAGGGTGAGTCAAAAAGAAAATTTTAAAATATTTGGCTTGCTCCATTTCATAAAAACAAATTGGATCTTATAAAAGTACATCTTATGGACTTGTAACTGTGAAAATTTCACGTAACTTGCATACTCTATTCCCGAGTTATGTCTATTTCAGTAAAAGGATCACAAAACACGGCTGTCCACCACCGATCAATGACCTTTCTACGAACTTTCTACTCATTGACTACAATGAAACATGGACTCTTCCCACCTCTATGAATGAACAAAAATTTGTAAAGGAAAAACATACAAAAATCGCCTTGTTCGTCATATCCAAAACACGAACTGTGACAGTAAAATAATGTTTCAGTCTTGATTTCAATTATTAACATCTCATTTGTGTTAGAAGCGTGTATGTAATATGTAATTCTCGCTCGGCTCATTAGATTCCTATGGCATTCCATGGACAGCTATAAAATGGCTTCTCTTATTAAAACATGCATAACTTCTGATGGCATGGATCAATATCAGTATTTTGTTCAGATGAGTGGAAGAACATGCTCTTTTGACATACATGTACTTCATTGGTGCATCAAATATAATTGCTTTTTAAGAAAAGAAAAATGTTTAATTTGGGTTACTTTCTTTTTGGTATCTTGTATTCTTTAAACAAACATGCGTTTTTTTGCGTCCACATCACACAAGCCGTACAGATTTGTGCACACGTCCATGCAGTTGTCGTATACTCGTAATTCCAGTTTGGCTTATTCACCCGGTTATTTTTTAATACACAGTTAAACCGACCTGGGCATACGCGCTTAATAGGCAGTCCCATTGGGGCGGAAGGACCTACTTATAGCTAGGAGTAATTAGTTATAGTGCCAATCGCGAAATGAATAGACTTCATTAGCCAAATGGGACCAGTTCGTGGCTGTAGCTCTCGTTTTTCAGAGGTGAAAGCCAACGGGGGATGACATTTATTAAGGAATGCAATTAGGTCTGCGGGTAAAATGTCTTTCAATTCGCAAAGGAACCCTACGTAGAAATGAACATTAAGCATGAGCGAGGTAGGCTGCGCCATAGGATTATGTAGAGTACGGGGCTTTTTCAAAGTCATACAATTTTTTCCTCTGCTGGACTGGGGAAACGTTGCCTATTGAATCTGGAGCTATTTTGATAAGAGGTCATTAGGCTAAAGCCAGTCAAACGGATTATAGAGATTTTTAACTAAAGAAACTCTACACTGATTGAGGGTACAGAGCTGTCAACTGAGTGTACCGTGAACACCGAGCTCCGTTGTTGAATCGTAATTATTATGTAGGGAATTCAAAAACATTTGAATTTTGTAAATAAAAGATGTTGAGCTTTCAAGTGAAATTGCTTTTAAGATCTCAAAGTATGTGCAAGCTTACTTTTTTAAACACATTTCGTTGCCAGAGACCGAACCCTGCTGTGTTTCGCCGCGTCTGGTACACCTTGGAAGATCTCATTTTCGACACCATTTCCAGTCCTCTAATAAGAATAGCAGCAAGTCGGACGGACCTTCACGCTTGGTTATTATATGATAACGATAGTAAATCTTTAAACTGAAGAACACTTGTCGGTACAAGTCGATTTATAACGTCGTCTGCATTTTAATATGTCATTTAACCTGAACAAGTCGGACACCGAGCGATTTGGCGTTGGTCTCAACATTACCTTCTTGTAAACAAATTCCATCTTGTGAACAATACCTGTTCTGAATATTTGTTGAGTCAATTCGCTGGACTATCTAAGGATGGACGTATTGTGAAATCTTCGTTATTGCTAAAATGAATTATGCAAATGAACAAAAGGAATCAATTCGCTGCTTAATTTATATATTTCTAGAAACCATTCACAGTGTTCAATTTCCATGGGTTCAATTTTCCGTTCGAAACGAATATGCAATATATATTAAAACGAGTTTGCAATTGTGTCTGTCTTGTATTTACGATCCTGTCACTTTGTAATCGACTGTACAGCCGCACTTCCTAATGTTAATGATCCTGTGATTCGTGTTGCACAGCTGTCTCACGGCCCGTTCGTTTCGCCAAGGAAATGTGTTGGCTCTTTCAAATTTGCCTGGTTCATACTTTATATTGTTTTCCCTGTTAAGCGAATGACAAAATGGTTATTTATCGGCACGTTGTTTTTGGTCAGAATTCTTGACGCATGTTAATTTTTGGATTGTCCTTTTGCTTCATTTATTTCAGCTACTTTTCATTTGTTATTAAATATCAGCCTTGTGTCTGTGTGCGTACGTCTGACGCTCTATATTTTCCCCTGATTTCCAAAGCATTTTTGTAACAGTCTTCACTGATGGTGTTTTGTTAAAAAAAAACTAAGGTCAAATAAAGATGTACATTTTTTCCTAACTTGGTAAAACGTTTTAGTTATGAGACGATATCTACACCGTTTCTTTGTTCTGCATGTGATTGGTGTACTATTATTCAAAAGCTGTATTGAATCTTGAAAAAAGAAAATGTTGATCAACCATCCTACTCAAATTATGCGTGCGGTCAAGTTTTCATTAAATATCCCAGCCAAATACAAAATGTACACCCTAATGCCAAAATTCAATCTAATGTTTTTGTTATAGGCTATCTAACATATTTATTTCAAAATGTATAAATTTAGTTGCACTTTGAATTTTTAAATTTTTTTTACACAGGGAATTTCTTTCTCATGGAAAGCATAACCTTTTTTATTTTAATTGTTGAAGAGAAATACCAGCAATGACTTTATCATGGGATTGTTGTCAATGAAGAGTGTTTTGAATACAACGGGTAATTCTTTGCAATTGTGCACATTACAGGCATCACGGAAAGCACCCAAACTAGAACGCATGGCATCCTACTCCCAGTACGAGGATATGAGATCACAGCCTGGCCAGCAAGAGGGCGCCTCTCCACTTTCACCGCTGGAGGCCGGCTCAGCCGCGTCGTCTTCAACAAATTCTGCCAGTGCATTCGCAGAGGAGCCGAGAAGAGTTGGGGATGGGCGAGAAAGTGTGTCCGGAAGAGTGGATTCTCGTAAGTATTCAAGCTACAACTCAACTTGCATAATCATTGTGAAGAAGGAATTGTATTACTCTTCAAAGTAGTTCACTCTGTACAGTATTAGATTCCGCCAATTTCCTGAAAACTAACCATACATTCTCAGCAGGCATGAATCGCCGACATTTATTATCATAACTCCCAGTTGCCTTCAACGTTTGTGATAATCATCAAATCGTTATCCCATGATCGGCAGTTTTAGCTTCGTTTAACACAACGAGGTACTTTTAGCGAAATATAGGTGTTGAAGTTTAATCTCAAAGAAATGAAGATCAATTTAATTATACTTCCGATATTTGACATTCTGTTGCAGAACCTCCATCGAAACCTCCCCGATCAATCTCCCGAGAGGATGAAATGTCAGAGGCTTATCCCAAACCCGAGCCTCACGCTTCATTTGGAGAGGGGGACCCTCGAGCAACGCTCCCTACGCCACCAATGAACCACCGAGACAACGGTCCAACCGATGTGGAAGCTGTTGCGTCAGCGAGCACGGCAGATAAGATGCAAGCAACTCCCTCGAACGAATGCGAGGTGGACGTTGATGAGGAGGAAATGATGCGGCAGTTGATGGAGATGGCGGAGGGGGCAGATGGAGGAGACGCTGGGGATGGACACCGAGGAATTCCCGGTAAAGACAGCGATCGAGATTTCGATATGTCACAAGCAGAATTCGATGACGATGCCGAGCCAGTGTCAATTGAAACAGACCAGGCAGACGAGAAACAGAGTTATCTCCAGAGACGGTTCGGCGATTTGGACGTTCTTTACGAAGGGGATGAAAGAGATGCACCTAGCGACCGAGGGGATTCCCGAGAATCCTCAAGTGGTGCCAAGGGTGCATCGGTAACGGCGCTGCTGACTGAACGTGAGCAAGAACTAATACGTGAGTCTTGTGGGGATGCTCGGTCGAAAACACGAGGCTTCGTCAGTCACAGATCTTCATCAGTAGATAGGGCGAGTAGTGACGAACCGAAGCAGGCAAGCAGACGGAAGATTCTAAGTACCTCTTTCGATTCGTATGAATGTCATAGTGATAGCGAACTCAAATTGACCAAGTCGAAGCAAAGCAAAGATGTTAAGGAGATAATAGCTTTGTCCGGGAGTGACCCAAAGCTGTCGTTATCTGTGGATTCCTCAGAGAGGGAATCGCTTACCTTAGGAAAAGACTCTCTGCAGAAGTTATATGTGCCTCTTTCCCCTGACGAATTCGCCACTGACGAAAAATACAGGTCAGTGGAGGACCTCACCAAAGTTGGAACAGATGAACAAGAATCAACTGACGACTCGGAGAACGGCTCCACTAGAATTGCAACCCCAGCAGTCGGCCAACCCCAGTTCCAATACGTCAAGCAAAAACCAAACAGTTTACCGAGAAGGCGCAGAAGCAGACCAGTCATGGAACTGCCTCTGTCACCGATATTTGACGAGGAGGCAGGATCGCCTGATCCAGAGCACCCGGCAGGAGACTTCTCATCTCCGGAGTACGCTGATCCTTCGTTGGCTGAAGATTCGCCGTTTGAATACGAGTACGATGATGATGCGGATGCATCACAAGAGGGATTCTCCTCGCAGGATGAGTTGCCAAGAACTGAAATGGTTGAAGACCTGAAGGCGATGGAAGAGGAGGTGTCTGATCAGCGTGACTACGATAATGACTATACTTTAATTGCTAGAGACGAGGGCTTAGCTACACTAGTAGAGGAGCAAGAAGAAACACCAGATAATGAAATTCAAAGGGGGGAATCGGAAATTGTTCAAACAGAGACGAGTTTTACTCATTCGGTCGATGACTCCATTGTGCACACTATCCCTTCTGCAAGGATCACCGAAGCGCAACAAACACAGGAATTGCCAATACTGAAAAGTCCCGAGAGTAAAAAAGAAAAGACAAAACTTGTAGAAACAGCTGATGAGGTACAGGTGGAATGTCAAGCTCAACCAACCGTCAGGGAGCACATAAAGCATCTGCCACGTCATTCACAGGATGACGGAACTTCCTCTTCTAGTCTTACAAGCAGTCAGTCCTCAGAAGAAGCGCCCGATACCGTGCGTTCTAATAAAGACGAAAAGGCTAGTCACTCGCCAAGACCAAAACCACCACCTCTTGGCATGATGCCACCAAGATATAGCATGGAAGCCTACTCCAGCCTTGAGTCCGAGGAAGGTAACAGTTTGCTCAGTTCGCCCCGGACTCCTAGCTACGACACTGACAGTTTTGATAAGCCGAAGGTCACCAGCCCGGGTAAGAAACACATGGACTTGGACTCACCGCTCAGTCCTAGCTTTCGTTTCTCTCCACCGGCGACCCCTAAGCATCTTCTAGAAGCCAGTAAACACTTCAGTGACACAAGTAGCTACACGTACGATAATTCACCCAGTGAATTTTCTGATGAAATTCAAATGTCGCCGGTAACACTGACAGTGTGCAAGTCAGTTGTATCAAATGTGGGATCCCATTTTGATGACTTTGAAGATGCTTCCAAGACCAAAGCAACAGTAAGTTCTGAGGCAGTTGGTCCGGATGTGCCTTTGGACGAGGTTCAACAGAAGGAACAATCACAGATCGAAGAAGAAAAAGTGGAATTGGCTGAAGTAAAGACAACTGAAGTAAACACCGACATGATTAAGAAACCATCACGGACGGCAGATGCTTGCACTGGAACCCAGACAGAGCACATCTTGAGTGTATTGATCCCAAAGCCGTCTCCCTCTCATCGTCATCCCGAGGAGGGTAAAACAAAATCTATCAAGATGCAGTCCACCTCGTCACAGACAACGTCACCGGTATCTGATGTAGAACCGACCGCGGACATCTCACCCGTTAAACAAACCAGGGCGAAAGTTCTCATTGATGCTGCCGTAGACGCAACCTTTGACAGTCCGTCCTTCTCGCCTTTGTCTCCGATGCACACCGCTCACGCGAAGACCGCAAGCATCGCAGTTGGTACGAGCCCCGAGTACTCACCACCCTCATCGGCCCCTTCCACTGACACCGAGTCGGTCGCCAGCCGGTCATCTCGCGTGAAATATATCCACGGCGGATTCGGCAGCGATGGTGACACAACGGATTGGGGTGCTAGTATGCCATTTTCATCCATTGCATCCTCCAGTGGTACTTCGAGTCCAGAGAGGAGCTCTTCCTTGCGATCAACTCCGCTGAAATACCTCCCCCTGGAAACCAGTAGTCTGTCCAACACGTCTCCACCTACTACGAGGAGGAGTCGTATAGACCGGGAAACATCTACTCAGAGAGGGTCCTCGGCCCCAGCTAGAACCCGTGTGATGCGAGATAGTGTCAGCTCAGAACGAAGGGTGAGCAAATTCACAAGCAAGTCAACTAAAATATATCATTGCCACTCTGCTCCATTCGGGGCGCTACATTCATTATACAGCCAGAACCCACAAGTTGTGCTAGCACCGTTGCAAATTTTAAACATAACAGATGCTGTGTGCAATGGTGCTTGCAACCTTTATATTGTTCTTTTGATGTGTGCACCGGTGCATAGTTCCTATGGACCGTTTTGGGAATTTATAGTTTGATAAATGTATGCAAAGAACTGTTGAGAGTACCTTTCCTCATCCTTCTCCCCCTCCTGTGGGTTTCTTCCCCCCCCCCCACCCCCACCCCACCCTGCATGAAATCACAACATAAACTACTGTAGATTAAAGTTTCTATGAAATTAAAGTGAAGGAAATACTCGGCCAATAATAAAACAGTTGTATACAGTACTGGAAGGCCTTTCCTGAAACAACGACCATATGAAATGTGCCACGCATGATTATTCGTTGAGATATCGAAACTACAGATGCCGTGTACTTTGGATGCACGGTATTCATACACCGATCAAGGTCCATTTGTAACAATAACCGTTTTTGTTTTACATGACAGTTCAACAAATAAAATATATTCACTTCCTCCATCGTGTACCTGGAACAATTCGGTTGGGGTTGGTAAAATTTATTTCAATAGCAAACTTGTAAATTCGCAGTATGATTTTAACTTTATTTGAAAAGTGTGTAAACGCTGATGTTTCTCTTTTTTGTAGACTTCCTCGAGCGACATCGACAGCTGTGACAGCGACGGAGGAACACCGTCCAGCACACCCCGGAAGGTCCGGCGTCGTCTTCCCTCTATCCCGTCTGATCAGGTTCCCGTCTCCGCCCCACGCAGCTCCAACACCCACAAGGTGTTCTTGGAGAAAGACCAGAATGTATCCGATCCTAGCAAGCAGCTGGAGTTGCAGCGAGTCAAGGAGATGCTCAGTCGGAAAGCCGCTTCCATAGAGAAGCAACGACGTGAGGAGGAGCTCCGCAATCTACGTATCGAGGCGGACCGACAGCGGGTTGGTGCTGCTAGCGAGAGGATTGCCCGACGTCGGCAGCCAAAACCACGGGGAAGGTTCTACAGTGACGGTTCCGTGTCGGACTCGGAGGTAGGACCGACTGGCAGCGGCAGGACGAGCAGAGACAGAGATAGAGACATTCTTGATACCGACTGGAGACTCGGTGCACCTGCTCTGTCTATGCAAACCCTGAGCACTATCGACACCCAGCAGTCACCGACCCACGGTGCACGCTACGGCTTAGAGCCCCCGGGAGCACCGAGGAGCACGCTGTTCCTTTCCAAGTCAGAGGAAGATATCATCAGGGAAATCGAGAAGCAGATTTCTGAGACGACGGGGAAAGCATATCAGGCGTACGACCGGACAGAAATCGAGAGAGATGTCCGTAGGCGATACGGCGCTCTACATGACTCCGATCGGAGTAGCAGCCAGTATTCAACATCTTCCTCTGGCTCACGGGGAAGCCTGAGCGACAGCTGGAGTTCTGTCACCTTTGAACTCCCGGACTATCGCTTGAGGGCCGTGCGCCAGAAACTGAAGGAGGAACTAAAACTGGTCACTGCCGATAAACGGGCGCAACTTGACCGAGAAGCGGTCACAAACGAACCGAAACATCGTCCACCAAAAGGCAAGGCAACATCTTTGGACTTGGATTCATCGGTCGGGTTCTTGCAAAGTAGCAGAGCCAACGGCAAGCCACAGTTGCTCGCAGTACCTGGTATGGATAAGCTGGACAGAAACGGTAAATCTTCCAACCGCTTGTCACCACAGGCGTCTCCTCAACGGCGGCGGAACCGCAGACAAGCGGCCGACTCCATCCCACCGATGTTCTCACCTATCAAAGAGGATGTTGATATTGAGGGCGACGTGATTCTCTCGCAGGCCAAACTCTCCAAACACCACTCGGACGAATCGGATTCCATTCTGTCGCCGGGGGGACAATCGAGTGTTGATGTGCGTAGTTACAAACACAGAAAAGACGGCACGAAAGAGTCGTCGAGAGACAGATTGTCCTCCCATGAGTTACTAACAGGTCTACCTTCACCGGACGGAAATTCGTCCGGCAATCGTAGGCGGCGCAAAGATACACCAGTGTCAGCTCATGTAGGGGTGAGTACACGTGTAGTGTCCATTATAGACGTATTTTGATCGCATATTTTGATGGCACTTTTTATACGTATTGTCAGAGCTAGCTTTCAAACATCGTTTGTGATAATTTAATTTCATATGTTTGTGGCCATAATGTCTGGAAAGTGAGGGTCCAATAAAATGTCGATATTTTTATGAGAATAACATATAGACAAATCTTTATCAAGCGGTATAATACAAATCTTGCAGACAAAAAAATAGAAGCTGTTGAACAAAGAGGATGTAAAGCGAGAGCGAAAAACATTAACATCAAATAAAACTTAGACACCGCAAACGGCAATTATTATCAACAGGGTCAACCACGACAATGTCATTGTGACAAGATATAGGCCTATTTCAGTTGGCTTAGGAAGGTACAATGAGCCAAAAGCTCTTTATATCTAAGTACATCCGTTAACATGAGAGCTCTAAGCTACTTTTAAAAAAATCCCAGTGAAAATCAAAGTTTCTCATTTCTGTGAACTTAGATATGTTTTAGTTTCATGGTTAGACACCGGGAACATGTTCTAAGATTCTAACCCATCACAGAGGATCAATTATTGAATTGTAAATGGTTCGTGTGGTCACTCTAGTAGCAACCAGGGAGTCTTCAATTGGTTAATCAGGGCAACAATCACTCATTCCAAATTGGCGTGAAAAGGAGTGAAACATGATCAACGCTACCTTCCTATCAGAGGGTTCTGAGCACATCTCTTTGACATATAGCTTGATTTGAATGTTTATATCAATCTCATTTTGGTATAATTAGCCCGAGGAGGTGGATCGTCTCAGTCGCGAAGGCGAAATGATTGAGAAACGCATCAGAGAGCAGCAGGAGAAAGAGTTTCGACGGGAGATCGAACGCCGCAAGAAACAGATGGAAGACTCTGCCAAGCGACTGGACGAGCTGAAGATCAGACGGGGCGTGGAGTGGTCCGCGGCCAGCGGCGGTGACGGTAAGAGTACCGGTACCGGCTCGGTGACAAAACCCTTGCAGGGTCCGGTGAAGCTGAGCCAGAGCCTGGACGAAATCGCTCGCCGGCGAGACAGAGACAGCTCCCCGCTCAGTGCCGAGCGCCGGCGGTACGGATCGCTGGAGACGGTTGCGCGGGACAAGGGCCGAGGCGCCCGGGAGACGGTATCTATGTCCACGCCGCAGCTGACCGAGAGGGAAAGGGCGGTCATCAAGAGGGATCAGCAAGGGTTGATATTACCGCTTGATGAGGAGACTAGGTTGCAGAAAGGTGGAACGGAGCATGGGAAACGGCAGACGAGGGCTGGTAGGGGAGACAGGTGAGTTCAATAAGAACATAGAGTCCCTTGAGAGTCCTTGATGGCATGTGCATTAGATTATAAATTTTGCAATTGTGAGTGTACTTTCTTATATTATATCGTATCTGGTGAGATGAAATTAAATCAAATATTCTACACATGGAAAAAAATATCAAATAGGTAATATCGTTCAATGCACATGCCAATTAAACATGCGTTCGTTGCTACATGTCTTAAAGAATGAACTCTTCATGCATTCAATAGCTGAACTTTGGGATAGCTGGTGTCACATATACATGTAATGCACGGGTGTACGTGCACGTTGACAAAGAATGGTGAAAAAGGCATCAGTGAAAAAAAAAGAGAATAAACAAATTAAATAAACAGATTCCCTTTGCCAAGGTCGCCTAAAAATATCATAATTTCTACTGTCCTCTTTTATTATGGCTAAATTTCCCTATTTGGTCATGTTTAGGCATGCATTCCATTTTTTTTTCTATTTAGTTAAAAGCTAAACCATGGAAAGGAAATAAGAACATTTTGAAAAGCATTACATTGTTTTCAACAATGTTTGAAAAATCCATATAAAATCACAACTGGTAGGTAAGTATAATTGAACCTCTTTGGTCTTTTCTTCCCGTACTTTTAAACGTCTTAACAGACTCGAGCGGTCCTCCTCGCGTGAAAAGCGCCCCCATCGGCAAGACAGTGTCGAGAGCGTGGGCTCTAACAGAGCGCTGTCTGAAGACGACGAGGCTGGCTACTCCGACAGCAGCAAGGTGAGAGAATTGGACACACAGTCAAACAGTCACTGATATCAAACAAAAGAACTTCAGGTTTAATATAGGACCAGTCTCGGCACCAAAGTACTACAGTCAGCACAATAACTGCAGAGGCCCCAGTAATGGCAAAACCATTGAACCAGCCATGCTATATTTAGAAGATCCAATGCTGTCTGATGTCGGTCTGCCGGAATGTCGGTCTCTCTTATATATGTCCGATGTGTCGGTCTGTCCTTTTTTTGTAAAAGGTATGAAAGGTATTGCACAAAATGCAACAGTTGATACATACAGGGTGAGTAAACAAAACAAAAAACCCAAAAGTGCTGCATGTAACACTTTTAAAATCTAGGATATAAAAGCCCAACTTGTCAGCTTTTTTTAGTACAAGAATCATTCAAATAACTCAATTCATTTTCAAGTTACGGAATTGTAAACACAACCACCGCTTTAAAGTTCTGTCTGCGGATCACAAAAGGTTTTCGTTTTGCTGAAAGAGCACTTACATTTTTGTGATCCGCGGACAGAACTTTAAAACGGTGGTTGTGTTGAAAAATCTGTAACTTGAAAATTGCTTCGGTGATTAGAATGATTCTTGCACTAAAAGACAGCTTATGAATTTCGTTTACATGTCCTACATTTTGAAAGTGCTACATGCAGAACTTCACTAAAACATTGGTCCCAACATTTCGGTTTCGTTTGTTGTTTTTTACTAACCCTGTACAGGTCCTGAAGTGCTATGTATGCCCCGATTTCACTGTCCTCTTAAATCACGATTGCCACGTAAAAACATGTTTTGCTTTTTGGGCAAATTTGTTTATTTCCGAATTTCAGTGGTTAAATATTACATCATTATCTGTATGAAAACACTCCAGATGTGTCTGTCGAAACATGTAACACAGCGTCCAGACGTAAATACAAGCTTGATATTGTTCGGTACCTGGATATCCTTTCCAGACACCGGTGCCTGGTCTTATTTGACATGTTATTCATGTAGTTCTAGTTCAATTACAGAAAAGCTGTGAAAACATGGAAACATTTACACTGTGAGGTTTTAACAGTACCTCAAAAATGAATTTCCAATATACATGTATATTAAAGGTGAATCGTGACTCGGACTATCGCACTCGACCTTTGTGACTCAATCGGACTAGGACCTGCATGACTTAATTGTATTTATTAAAAATAAAACTAGATTTGGTTGCGCGGGGGTGGGGTGTGTGAGTTTTGAATTATCACCCCCCCCCCCCGTAGTTTTTGGGCCAAGTTTTAAAGGATTTTGTCATGTGTCTCTTTGGTGCCAATCTGCATTAAAAATGGGCCCCCAAAAAATAATCTCTGAGTGCTTGCCGTCGAACCAAAATTGTTCCAAAGACCCTTACCTTCAAATTAGTACATGTAGTGAAAACGAATTTTTTGCATCAATTTGAAAGGACTTAGTGCCCGGGCACCCCGCTATTGCACTCGGACTCGGGAAAGGTCGAACACGAACCCGATGTTTAGTGACTTTGCAATGTAATGAGGGTTTTTTCAATGCACGTGTACATCCCGCTCACTGTGTCTCGCGATCAGCGTCATCGCGAGCAAGGGAATTATGTAGTATCTGTTCATATTAGCATCGCGTCTTGTCTTTCAATGCAAATGGTTTTCAGGATCTAGAGAATATAAATTTGAAACATAACGGTTTGCAATGATTTGGGGATAGTCATCACAGGGAATGTATTGTATTGGTTAAAGTAACGATTAATTCCAAGCCACGTACTGAACAAGAATGGTGGAAATTAATTGAAATTGATTTGTGAATTGTGTGAACTGAAAAAGTTCAGTGGCGTCCCCACTGCAATGGTTGGAATCGGAGTGCAAAATATATTAGATACTCAACGTGGAAAGTCTCTGACAGATTGACGAGTATAATACGTTTCGCACGGTATATAAACATGTATCATTAACGGTTTTATTTTCAAGGTAGTGAAAGATCAACATTGGCTTTGAATTGGTTTCCTCTTTCGTATATGCGAAAATTGTTTCTGAGTTGTATATTGTATCGATGAGTGTTGTATGCCGTGTGGACACTCGTCGAACGTGGTTTCTGTTTACAATACAGTGGGACCTACAATAACAGTTTGACTGGGAGTTATAGCGCGTACATGTCGTCGGCTCGACTAATACTTTATCAGTGACAAATGCCCATCTGTTGTTTTTGGAAGCCTTCTTTTTTTACAGGTTTTCCAGTCAAATCGGGCATGTTTTCAGAAAGGTTTGAGTAGTATTCAAATTCGTGTCTAATGTATTGCTGAGTTGAATAATTGGTCTTCTAAATGCTTTTTAGTTGGTTTCGTTTGGACAAAAGATACAGCAATCACAATAAGGAACTTGAAAAAGCAATTGGGCAATTTTTCAGTTTTCAAGTCTACAGATCGAAGCCGGTAGATTAAAACACACGTTACTATAAAAGGAAATAAATCCTGTGTGTGTTTCTCTTACTGCGCTTTCTCACTTTCAAGGAAAGTGGCCCAAGACGATTTTCGATGAAGTATACAGCGTTTGTTCCAATGCATCGATTTGAGTAAAATAACGTTTGTATGGTAGATTGGGTATCTGACTATAAGAGGTAATTTGAAAATATTCCAAAACTCACATGCATTATACCTATATTAATTGGTTTTCGACTGTTAGGTATTTTGTGGAACAACATGTATCACTTTGCTTGTACAGGTACATAGAGAGACGGACTGAAAGGTTCAAAGTCGCTTTTCAAATACTAAAACAGCTTCCTTTGAGGCACACAGAATTACGTTTTAACAACACAACATGAAGAATAACATCCCAATATGTTTGTTTAGCAATCTCGTATACACTTCGTGAGCCGGCAGTCTTCTTTTAAGCGACCGTATGATTCAAACAAACCATAAAAACAACCAGTACTTTGTACTTCATGTTATATTTTTATTGTCAATGGTTTTTAAACAAGAGGTACAAATATTGTGCTGGATTATATATCGTAATGCGCAATGGAATTACTGAAATACGGCTTTCCATAATTTCTCTCTGGTGGATATATGTAGAAAAATTATTTGCTTAATCACAACAATATGCAGACTACTACTTTTTACTTTCTAAATGGCATCTCCACTCAGCTCGACATGGAAATAAGCATTAACTTGGACCAATCTCAAAAAGATAAAAGGGTGTGTAAATTTCAAACAAACAATGAATATTGTTATGCTTTTGGAAAACCCCACATATTTTATTTACTGTGGATTGACCTAAATAGAATATAAACAGTTTATATTTGAAAGGCACTTATGTCTGCAAGTTATGTATATTCTGCATACCGCACATAACATACGTTTGCAGATATGCAAAAAAGTGCACAATGTCAAGCCGCATATTCATTGATCACCCTTGTCGGTGTGGAATTCCTCTTTGTAAAACAAACCTAGCTGAGCGGTAATAAACATTCCTCTTTGACATTGTGATTATATTCACAGGGTAGCACCAGACGACGTCGCAGCGCAGACGAGCGGAGAATCGCCGAGGAATCAACTCGCCATCACCGTGACCAACGCCATCACCAACAGGAGCGTGATCACGGTCGCACATCTCCTGCCGCACAACGTGATCACGGTCGCTCGTCTCCTGCCGCACAACGTGATCACGGTCGCGCGTCGCCTGCCACACAGCGGGATCGTGATCACGGTCGCACGTCGCCTGCCACGCAGCGGGACCGTAATCACGGTCGCACGTCCCCTGCCACGCGGCGGGACCGTGATCAAGGACGCGCGTCCCCTGGGTCCCATGGTCGAATTTCCCCTGCAGCACACTACCGGGACGGTGACTACCATGACTACTCTCACCGTCGTCCACACAATCGGTCGAGGGAGGATGTGACTTCGCCTGAAGAACGTGACCGTGATCGTGACACGTACGCTGACCGTGGACGTGACTACCATCACCGCCAGCACAGCAGATCACGAGAAGACATCCCATCGTCTTCAAGCCGTGAGCGCGCCCGCACCATCAGTCCTAGTCCAATCCGGGAGCGTGATCGTGACTCTCATCGTGATCGAGACACGCACCGTGATCACAGACGCCGTCAGCATCACCATTCAGGAGAGGATCTGTCAAAGACCTCGAAGAATAGTGACCGATCTTCAGCGGGACCCCGATCTAGAAGTCTTCCCAGAGTCTTGCAGTCAGAGAGAAGACAGGCCTCCCCTGAAGGTAGATTCATTGAAAATTCTTTCTCCTCACGAAAACTTTTAATCAACAAGGTTTTCCAAAATCATTTCCGAAATGCCTACTATAACTTAATGTTTCAACATCAAAAGAAGCATTAATCAAGTATGTATCACAGCAGCATTCAGTGCTTATGAAACTGCGTTATAACGGTATTTTCCCAGCAAAATTTACTTTTTTTAAGATCTGATTATTTTAAGAACTTATAAATGTTAAGTCAATCAGTCTACCAAATTTTCCATAGCTGTTCATTTCGTTCATAGGATCCAAACGTGTGTTTTGGGTTGTAGTTTGTAGGCCGTACGTTGTACGGAAACCGTACGGAATTAACTTCAACTGTTAATGATTACATTGTGGGAAAATGCTTTGTTGATCATTTGCTGGATTTTCACATTCTGATATATTGTCAACTCCAGATTACTATTACGGGGACCAGGTCTACAGAATGCAGGCCAGCGAGTGGACACGTCGCGCCGACGACAGTGGCGATGACGAAGACGAAAGACGACGACAAGCCATCTACCAAAGTGTGCCAGGGGGATCTCGCCATATGCAGGTATGGATGGAGACTTATTAAAGTTATTCACCTAATATGAAACAACATAGTTGAGATTATAGCATAGCAATCATTCTTTGCGGTTAGGCCTATTTAGGTAAAATTGTGTGAGTAAACGATATTCGTATCTTATATTGCATTGCCTGAAAAGAAAGGCTCAAGGTATACGCTCCAACAATGCAGAAAGTGAGGGCAGTACCCCCCCCCCGGAAATTTGTTAGTCCTTCAAGGGACCATGTTCAATATAAAAAAAAGCATGTACCACCCAACTCTCCCTCCCCCACCCAAATCCCAACACTCGCCCTCTATGGTCAGAACCCAGGCTACACTGCTTGGCTACAGGTGTTTCGTATACTTTACGCACGTTTTTTTAGCCTGTCTGTGTCCGTTGCGTTTGGTTTGGTTTGGCGTTTGGTTTGGCCCGAAGTTTGCATTAAAAAAAAACACGTACCAAAACAAGGACTGAAGACGGGCATATGTCGTTTTTAAGCCATTGCTTGTCCTGCATCATTATTGCAATTTCATCGACAATAACACATTGTTATAATAAATTAAGATGCATAATCGGACGCCTCCTGTGTCTCTCCTTGATACAGCAACGCCACATATCACGTGCCGACTACCAGTTCCCCACCAGACGATTCCGTCTCCCGCGGGATCCCAACGATAAGAAGTGCAGGAACCACGGCATCGGTATGCGCATTATCGGCGGCAAACGGATACCAGGGTCGGAGCAGCTGGTGGCCTACATTGCCGAGATACGGCGGGGCGGGGTTGCAGATAGAGAAGGTTGGTTTGAATCATCGTCAGAATGTGGGCAGTCATAGTTAACAAGGGCCCTAGGACAAGGTCTAGTGACTGGTTTCTCTACCAATGACACATCTTTCCTACCTGATACTTTCCCGGTTTGGAACGAGATCATGGGACATGATTGTGTACCAGATGACATCCAAAACAAATTCGCTTTTGACCGTTATTCAATATTTGAAGTATTAAAAACCCATGATTTGTCAAAAGGGGTGCTGAGATGTTGAAGTCCAGGATTTTTGAAGAGGGTTGAGGCGGGGAACCGAGACCTTATTCACAAGGAAGTCATTTTTGATCGTGCTCCCTGAATGCATTTTATCAATTGTAAACTGTTGAATAGGATGGTGCCAGACTACGTCCCAAGCCTAACTTTCAATATTTGTTTTAATGGGGCTTAAAACATTGGGGTATGTTTAATCACACATTTTAAATTATTCATCAGAGCAGACTGGTATCAATTTGTAATTAACTTTGTGTCATTGCTTTGATTTCTATTCGCAAGTTCCAATTATGAAGATTTTACCTCGCTTTCAATGTAATATGGCCGACTCGTGGAAAAAGTCTCAATGATGCTATATATTTAACCATATTCAATATTATTTCATGAAAGAAATGTGTCATTTTCCAGTAGAAGTGTAAAACAATTAGCATTTGTCACGCAAAAAGGGGATGGTCAGCCACCATCCACCCCTCCCCACCCTATAGTAGATAAAAAAAAAATAGAAAATCCCCAGGAAAATGCATAGCTATAGATAACACTTCCTGTTCGAGCTAAAATAAGTTTTTCTGTATTAACTCAAAGACGATACTTTTAAATGCCGAATATTACAAATCGCTCAACATATTGACGATTAGGTTTACGGGAAGGTGATCAAGTGTTAGAGTGGTGTGGCATGCCGCTGACAGGACGGACGTACGAGGAAGTACAGCGAATCACTAGGACGGCCGACGGCGATGTAGAAGTAGTTGTCAAATGGTAAGCCTCCGCACTTGCACTGTTCGTATTATTTTCAAATTCTTGTAGTTGTTCTGTAGCCAACTTGGTATTTGATGGGGCACTATACTAGTGATCAATCGTATCGGGACCCTTTGTATGTCTTTGAGACAGTGTTGTAGTCGAGTCCCCCACATCCGAGTCCGAGTCCGAGTCCTTCCGTCCGAGGCCGAGTCCTAGTCCGAGGTCGAAAAATCCGAGAACGAATCTGAGTCCGAGTCCGAAATATCCGAGTCCAATTGCGAGTCAAAGTCCAAAAAAATCGAGTCCGTGTCCTCCTTGTCCTATTAATGCAGTATTAATACAAAATGCAACAAGTTTCATTGAAATCGTCATTTTGCGGGGGAAAAATGGAAATAGGCCTATTAGAGATCAGCGAATTCTTACAATTCAACAATTCGTAGGCTACATGATAAAACTGCGTATGTATAATCCCATGCGATTGCATTCACTTAGACTCCATAGTCTCCATATGTTTCTTCAACCGTTGTGAAATATTTACGAGGACGTCTCCGATATTGGAAGCTCTTAGTTTTATAACAAGTCTCCAACAATATTAAACCTGGTCCGTCACCCCAGCGGTTCCAAGATATTTGCAGCCTTTGTAGCCCTAACCCTTTATTACCATTAAGGGGTTGGGTTATTAAAGGGAATATACAACATTTTGCTTTTGCTGCAAGTTTCAAAAATAAATGGACTTGGAGGATTAGTATGCTATAGAAAATATTGTTAAACTTGTTTCACGTTTTGGGTTCGGAGATGCTGGACAATCTAAGAAAACCAACCATGTTCTTGTAGTCTGGTTCCCTGACCCCACTTAAGATTAGACGTCACCATTTATAGACTATGGGGGATTGTAAGGCCAAAGAATCAGTCTAGCAGGCTTGTAGCCCTTCACAGATGTGTAATCAATTGCAAAGAAAATGCGTAATAACTAAATATGCAAAATTAGGAGCAGTTTTTGGAAAAAGCCAGTTTTCTCCAGCGATGGTCGGCCGACCAGCGTTGGAAAAATACAAGTTTTCTTGAAACTGACATTAGAGCACGCCAGGATCAACGATTTTACAGGATGCTTTAGACTCTCATTCACTAATAGTCCAGTAAGATGTTTCGTTATAATTTGATCATTTCGTTTTTTGATGTTTGCAAATGTTGTATCTTCCCTGTAATAGCTAGGTTGATGGCCGACATGCTATAATACATTCTTTTTGAGTTTGTATATAACTTTAAAACTCCGATTGATGAAGCAAAAAGAAAACGATGCACGTTGACCTTACACGAGAATCACAGCGGCTGAGGCTGATAACACCGGAGTCCGAGTCCCCAAAAACCTAGTCCGAAAAATCCTAGTCCGAGTTTGAGTCCGTCAAAAAGTGGACTCGATTGTCCCACAACACAGCTTTGAGAACTACATACCCTTATCACTCACCAGTGCTGTGGCTTGGTGCCAGAAATGTCTCTTGGATCGAGTGCCTATAGAGTTGGCTGGAAGGGTTTTATAATTACTAAAATAAATTATTCTTTGACGTTTTTGGTGAACGGTGTCCCTTAAAAAAAACTAGGGCTTTCAGATAAATAATGACTTTCACGGAATTGTTCATCTTTTTTCAGTGGCACAAATTTATTAGAATCCCCGAGGCAACGAAGCAGGCCGCCAGACGACAGCGCGCCCCGGTCACGGTCCACCAGCAACCCGGCGCACTACATCGAAGAAGGTGAATGATTTACTTAGGTTGCTTGCCCGTGTAGGCCCATACACAAATGTTCTCTTGGCTTGCGCATCTACTTTGACATTTTCTGTTTTCAGTGCCTGTCATTTCTGTGCCTGTTTTGCTTTTGCAAGGGCCTCCATGCATTCGACTTCAGTTTTGCCTGATCTGAGCATCTTTTATGCATCCTTTGTCGACGGACAATTATTTCATAACATCAGTTTCAGACCAGGGGCGGATCCAGGGGCGGTTTTGATATTCGATCGTTCATTATTCTATTTTGCGAATGTTATCATTCCGCCGCTTGAAAAGCTACTTTAATTATTGCCTTGCGTCAGTAACTCAGTTATTCATTGTGTAATAAAAACTGCAGAGTCACTCGAAGAAGAGGCAATTCGCAATGGCGTTGATCCCCGGATGCTGTCTGAACGTCTTGAAGGGATCTCCAAGGCTCAATATGTGTATAGTTCTCCCACTACCTCTGCCAATACCGATAACTCATCGCCCAAGGTAGGCATTTATTGAGCTCCCCTGCCGAAGAACAATTGCCACCAAAGGACGATGAAGGTTTCTGTTTACTGATTGAGAAGATGTTTTTGTCCATAATTATTATGTTTAAGGCTGAAAGTTCCTTAAAAGGTGCTCGAGACGGAGCTGTATCAAATCTGTCTGTTCTAACTTCATTTTACTTTTTGGAAGGTAATGGAAGTCATTGTTGTGATGAAATACTTGTGTCGTTATGGCTGATGGTTTTAGCACATTGTGATATTTAGTTTATTTTGAAATGCGCAGAGGTTTTGAGATTTGGTGTAACGACATGTTGTTTCATGGGAGCTGTATTTGGAAAGTTTCATGTGTACCAGTCCTGGGGGATACGTGCGCTTTATAAATCCCACTGTTATTCACGGTGTGCTTGATTTCATAATAATGTAAAATGTCAGGAGTGCAACCTTTGCAGTTTTGAGGGAATTTCAGGGGGAACAGATGAAAACTGATTGTATAATGAAATATCATGTTTGATTTGTTCACAGAGGAAGGGGCGAGATAGGAATAAGAAGATAAGTGGTGAAATTCAGGTGAGTAGAAATACAATAATAAACCTTGACTAGCGAAAAAGGGAGACTATAGGTCTAACGCATAGCCCTCCATAGACGACCTTATTCAAAGGAAGCCATTTTCGATATTGCTCCCTGAATCCTATTTATAAACTGTAAACTGTTAAATTGGATGGTGACAGACTATTTTATGATTGGAGTGCGTTTAAAGCCTCAATTTCAATTTTTGTTTAAATGTTGCTGAAACATTAGGATGTGTTTAAACAAAAAGAATTATATTATTATATTTATCAAAGTAGACTGGTATTAATGGCTAATTAACTTGGAGAAACATTGCTTTCATTTGTACTCGCAATTCCAAAAATGGAAAGATTACCTCGCTTTCAATTCAATATGGCTGACCCCTTGAATAAAGTCCATTAGTCGGCCTTACCAGTCCAGCCGTTTGATCATTTCATGTAGCAGCTTTGAAACTTTGCAGTTATGATCTTTACCGAGGAGGGCCCTCTGAAAAGCATTGTCTCGTTGTGACCCCCTACAGATCCAGTTAGACTACGACGAGCGAACGGGCGACTTGAGCGTGGGCATACTGCGGGGCCGCGGCCTGGCCCCCAAGGATATCAACGGTCTGGCCGACCCGTTCGTCAAGACGTGCCTTCTACCTGGAAGAGGGCAAGTTTACATCACATTTCTTTGTTTTATTTTATTCAATATGGTTTTCTAAAGTACGTTTTAAGTATTAGAGTTCGCTACTTTTGTAATGAACCTCATTTGTATAGATTACTGATATGTCTTTTGAATTCAGCTAGAGTTGCGTTGTTCACAGCAGCCGAGGAGAGTGAGTTCCCATGTTTAACAGTTGACGCGGAGAATGAATCTTGGAAGGCCCTTGCTTTGTGACTGACTTGAATGAATTTTTGGTTGTTTGCCCGTGCATCTCTGGTATTAGGCTGAACATAGTTGTGAAGTGAAATGTCGACCAACCCATTTTGTCATCTTGTACAGCATACACTTCTGTTCTGTAAAATGTGTCCCATCCCAAGTAGCCACCAGTTTTTAAAAAAACAATGGTGCTGGCCAGCAGCACTTTCCCGACAGTGCAAATTAACGCCCTGCAGTATTCAATTGACGATAGACAGTTTTCATGTAGATTTTGTGGTGTCCCTGATTATGAGGGTTTTTTTCATAATTGAACGATTTTTTTTTTATTACGTGAATTAATGTTCTGGTTTTCAGTGAAATATCGGTAACCATAGTTTGTCTCCCATCGGTTAGGGGGAAAAGTACGTACAACTGTGGCGTAGCAAAAGAAGATTTATCGAATTGATTGAGAAGTATATAAAACTTGTCCAAAAGGCAGGTCTTCATCGGTTTTCGTTTCAAAGGTGACCCAAACCTATTGACGATGTTTCTAGATTGCAAGGGTGGTATCCGTGAATAAAATCTACAATTTTAGAACTTTTAGGAACCCCTTAGTCTCCTTTGGATAACGTGTCACAGAAGTTTACTTCATTACGCACTGAAGCCTGTAAGATAACAAGACATATACTTACTATTTCATCCAAAGTAGACCAGACAACAAGAGGAAGACGAGGTACGTGCCGAAGACACTGACACCGGAGTGGAATCAAACGGTGCTGTACCGGGCCGTCAGACCGCAGGAGCTCGCGACCAGGATTCTGGAGATCAGCGTCTGGGACTTCGACAGATTCACCTTCAATGATTTCATGGGGCAGGTGAGCTATACGCGGACCATCACGAAGCTATGGGCTTCAGAGGCCAAACCTAATAAGCAAATTGGGCAGCTCAATGAAAAAGGCAAATCAAAAGACATTATCTTTTGGGGGTAGGCCCAGTGTTGTAGTCGAGTCTATCACTAGTCCATTACAAGTCACTCAGTCCTCAGTCAAGTCCAAAGCTGTTCATTATACACTGTGACAATGACTTTTTTGTTTTTTTGTTATTGTTCACCCGCTTCAATTTGTGACCGGACATGTGCTGGATCGGGCTACCATGAACACTGGTATTAACAGATTGACTTGAAAAACACAATGATCGAAATTGCATTTTTAGCTATTGGAAAAATGCCACGGAGAACAACTCCTTTCTCTTTTTTGCTCTAAAAGGCTGGCAACAACTAAGCTGTTTTATCATTGGCTCCCTCGACAGATTCTGATAGACCTGTCCGACCAGCACATCCTAGATAACCGGCCTCGCTGGTTCTCCCTCCAAGACCAACCAGCAAGTACCGGCCAACAAGAGGCCTTCTCACCCCGTGCCCTCTCCCCAATCACCACACTCCCCTCAGCGCACCCAGCCCACCCCCTTAGCCTCTTGGTGGGCAGGGGACGTGGAGGAACAACCACCGCCTCCGGAGACCACGGTTCGCCGGAGAGGCGCCGTGCCTTGTCCCGCTCCATGGAGCGGGTGCAAGCGTCCAGTGCCGCCCAGCAGCTGATGGAGTCGGACTCGCAAAGTTCCCGGTCCTCGGGTTACGAGTACGACACGGATAGGTCTACCCAGAGTGACAAGTCTGGCTGGAGCCAGGGTAAGACAAAAACCTGAGGAATATTGCAAGAACCTTAGGAGATGTGAATACTTTCAAAATAAAGTCCTGAGGGGATGGCGCAGAAAGGGGAGTTTGATGAGTTGAATATCCGACATACATATAAAAAAAAAAATAGATGGCTGTGTAACAAAATACTTCTCTATAGTTTAAATGAAAAAGGCACAACATCTGGCGTTTTGAACAACACCACAAATTTAGATTGTATTTGTCGGAAGCAAAGTGTATTTCGTTTTATTCCTTTGCACACTCTGCACTTTCTTCTTTCCAAAATAGTGAGGGGCAGGTCACTTGTGTATACTTCGCTTCACGATATCAAAAAAGGGGATATTCTTTTTCAAATCCAAGAAATTCAGTTTACTTTTGCGGGATTTAAAGTTTCACCTTTATTTGGGCACGGAGTCTTTTTCAGTTTGTCGTTGTGTATATATTTACAGTTGAAGTGATATGAGGAGTGCCAACATTGTCGAGTCGCATTTCCAGTCGCTTTTCCTAGTGCATGTTTTGTTGATTTCTGTGGCCATGGTCGTTCGTGTATGTCAGCCACGATACGCTCTCACTCTGTTGTCTTCTCCATGCAGGCTGATAATTGACAAAGTGGCCCTGATTCTTCTCACAGTAATCCTTCAGACCAGCTGACATGTTATGCCCTATTTTCCCGCCCACATTCCTGACCAGATGAAACAGTTTCTCCCATTTACCCATCCAAACAAGGCTAACCCCTTACTTGGTGTAAAACTCATTTTGGGGGGTAGCGTTTGAGACAAACGTACTTTGGAGTTTTATTGAATTTCTCTCTTTTTTTTCATTATAATTGCAATTCTGATAAAATAGTCTTTTACTTTTCAGGTTTCAGTTATTCATATTAGTTGTTTTTCACAGACGCAAAATGCAAATAGCGATCATCACTGAATCGAATCAGGTGTTTTACTAAGCTTTGGTTTATATTGACCGGGCTATACATGCAATACTGAGCGGGGGATTGTGAATATTGCCTGTTTGAACAGTTGATATTTATGCCCTTAGACATTAGGTGTAGAAATAGCATCATCTATGCTTAAAATATTAAAACTTCGTCTAGTAGGATTAATTATCTCATGGGTTTTCCATTCATAACTAAGACACGTATCGTCTCCTATACGAGATGTGTTGTCGTGTCCCGCATTTTAAGAGAAGTTTACGTGAAATAACATGACCAATTTTATGTGCACAATTGCCAGCTTGACAAAGGGCCCCTCACAACGAAAGCAAGAACATGTACAAAGGTATGGATAAACCAGCGAGCTATAGTTACTCATTGCCTTGGCGGTATTATAGTGTGAAAATTTTGTGACTGTGTAATGTGGTGTGGATCTAACCCAATTGCGAGCCCGTGTATATTTTTTTCTGTTGCCCATACTCAAGCTCTTCCTCTTATTCCCCTCACGCCCCCTGATATATAAAATAACATATATTGATATAGCACCATTATGCATCTTCGGCATATTGAATTTTATAAAAAAATATAAAAATATCCTCTAAACTTTTTTAGTTTTACTGACACCATTAACTTTTTTTGATTTCTTTATGTTATTCATTTTCATTTGATCTACCATTACATTAACAAAGACAATTTGTTGGACTAATATTACCTGTCAAACTAATGGTTTAACAATACCGCTATAATAGATAATACAAGTTATAATAAAACTTACTGATAAAAGCACGTGAACTGTGTGGTTCAACTCATAATTTCAGGCTCTTTTCCTTGTTATTTGTCCTGAAGGAAACAATCACAAATACTGGGACTCCATAGTTAACTGTTCTCCGTAATCATTATAAGTGATGTCTATCGCAGAAACTGTGCGACTCTTAACATTAATTAATATATCCTGGTGGGGAATCGCTGTCGAAAACCAGCAGTCAACGTTTCCAGAGTTGGTGTTATCTAATTAAGGCTCAAACGGGATTCACTAAGTCGTCAAGAAGCTCCGGCTGTGTAGACTCTGTGACCCTTGATCCAATGCACGTCCTCCTGAGCATTATGTAACAAATTGGGAGTTCAATCATCAGCTGGTATAACGTCTAGGCCTCCATGCTTATGTTACACTCCTCTATCAAACATGATTTGAAGGAATCCCTTGCTGTTGCTTTTCAGTAGTTTAACTAGCAGCAGAGCCGATCCAGTGTATGGGACAGGAAGGTGGTTGGGAAATTGTCTCATAAATCAGGAAGAATAATATTCCCCGAATTACACAGGTTGTAACAGATGAACAGATCATCAAATCAAAAGCTCTTCCCTGCATCCTGAACGTTTGTTCACTGGATAACTGGATCTCGCTCCCACCCGAGAAATGCCACAGAGAAGGATGGGCCACTGCTTTAGCTTCTCCCCGCCGCCTCCAAGCTTTTTCACCTGCATGCTTTACTAACGCGCATGCACCAAGTCAAACCTACAATAAAAGGGCCTGGGACTGCCTTCGGGCCGGTTTATATGGGCAAATCCTGCGGCAGCCATTTTCTGCGGCTGCACCGGGGCGGCTCGCGCGAGGCACGCTCGGTATGCACCCACCAGGCTCCTTAGGAATACCAAAATGCGCGCGCCTCATCTTTAAGAACGCGTGCAACGTGCGCGTGAGTGTGAGGCCATGTCCGAAACAGGCTTCCAGAGCTAGCTACGTCTACGTCTATTGTCAGCGTGTCCCCGCGTAATTTTAATGGGGGCAGACCTAGACCTAGCCGACCTAGCTCTAGACAGCTGATTCGGATGCAGCCTAAGTCAAGCTTCTAATTATGGTCGCCGGATTCCATGTTACTTCTTTTTGACACAGTGCAGTGGGTGCGTTCGAGCGTGTTACACGTGTTATTAACACGAGTATACTCCTGAGCGCACGAACGGTAGGAGTACGATCCGCGGGTTCCGGAAGTAGCAAGAGTAATACGCTCGAACGCACCCAGTACGTTCACGGCGAATGCACAACGCGAGTGCTTGCCGTGACGTCACAAATTTTGTAAATGCGTGCGTAATATGAGCCGGCCGTTTGGACGATTACCCCCGTCCTGTCCGCGCTGTATTAAAGATGGACTGTCCGTGATCTCCAAAAAAAATCCTTTATTTTTGTAGTTAATCTTGTTTTGACGAAAACTACTTTGCTCTCTTTCGAGCGTCTCTATATATGGCAACCTCTATCGATGCCGATAGGGAGGGAACCAGTCTACTTCCGAGTAGGCCTAATTGGATTAGTGTCGGGCTTCAAATAACTTGAAATTTGTAATACAATTATTCCATAACCAAACGTGGGACGATGCTTTCGTTCGGCGTCTCTATCAAAAGTGAATAACGTTAGTATTGCTATAGAAATCAGCAGCTGACAAACATATAATCTATTATTTATATCTAGTAAAAACACGGACAGTACCTCTTTAATGTTGCGTTTACGACTGGTCTAATGCCCATCCCCCGCTACTGCACCGTGTTGCGATGTTACCGCCCCCTATACCCCGCGCTTCCGTCCCAAGTCTTGCATGTGATGAACAGTGTCATTATGTTCACAATTTGTTTGTGTTGTTCTTTTTTCTTTTTCTTTTTTGATCCTAAACCCGTAATGATCTTCAGAAAGAGACGTAAATTGCGTAAAGCCGTGGGATATATAGTTTTGGCTTCATATTGGTCTGATATTTTTAATTTCTATGCACGATGCATTCAGCATGGTTTTGAACGTTATTTTTTCAAAAAAAATATTTTACTTGATTTTATTTTTTTCAGTCAGAAAAGCAGTATAGTAATTGCTTAAGTGCAGTTTCATTTCGAGTTAACTGTATCTTCATGAGTTGTTTAAAGCGACGATTGACCATTGCAAGGCAATATTCGAAAAGGAGAGTGATCAACTTGTTTTGACTGCGAAACGAAATACATCCAAATATTTGGACCATGCCAAATCCAGATTGAATGAAAAAATAATCATACATAATTATGAAATGATGTACTTCTCAAAGTCAGTGAACTATTTTAATACGAAAACGGTTGTATTATACATGTATCATTGTAATTATCGATAGGCAAGGGGTTTAGGTGCATGATATTTAAAAGAGAGCGGTGTACATTGACTTAAAGAGTAAAGCTGTCGTCCCTGAAATAAGAGGTGGAGCTTTCATGAATTTTAAAAAGTATTCAACTGGCTTCTAATAATATTATGAATACTGAAGTATCGTATCTGAGTAATTTCCATACGTTATAAATATCGTATTGCTTTCATTGCGTTTCTAATGATATTATCAACAACACAAAGCTGATGTCTTTGTCTTTATAGACCACCATCGCGATAGACCCTCCAAACCCCCTCCCTCATCTTCAACGCAATATAGACACGCCCACAACGGACAGCACAATTGCAAGGCATACCCAAACAACGGAGCAGGGAGGACACACACCAATGAAAAAGGTACGACGAGGATAATGTGTTATACCAATATACCCTTCTATCCATGTTCTACGGGGGGAATGGTTTGAAGGAGAAATGCTGTAAAATTGCTTGTCCTGTGTGTCAGAGAAATGTATCGAATTGCATCCAGGTGGTATATCGATGTTGAATTGTTTGGTTATAAACGTAAATTGACTTTGATATTAGGGAGGTTTCGCAAGCGAATGGATACGCTTACACTTACGTTTAGCTATCCGTATCCGTTTTTTACTTACGTGTAGCGAGCGAGATATGCGTGTCGTCTGCACGTTTAGCGGATAGTGAGTGACGTATGACGTCATAACTCATGACGTATCCGTCGCAATAAACGTATCCATTTGCATGCGAAATCTCTCTATTGGTAAAGATCGACATCGGAAACGTTCACTTAATGATTCAAGCCTGTGGGCTCCGTGCCGCAACAAAAGAGGGTGCGTTTTTACCTCTTTTGAAAGCTCTTTGGACCGTAGACAATCCCCGCCTACAATAACTTTGGATACATTCGAAATACGCAGCGGATGGATCGGGAACCAGTCTAGGTCACCCTAATTTTTTTTTTTCTGGCCGTTGATGTGGAACGTGTGCACGTAGCCCATAGCCTTTTTTTTTCGATTCATAAAATGTAACATGTCGCCGTAATTAGTTTGCAATTCATAAAGCGTAATTCAAAAATACCTGAGACAGTCATGACCAGAGGGGGTGTCTTACCAAACATGAAGTAAAACTGTAAAGTTGAATCGTTGGAAATTAGTTGAATTTTTGCTTTCAGTTAGGGCCGTTATCTGCGTCTACGCCCCCAGGCTCCAGTTTTAAACGTACTTGAGTAAAACTGGCCCAAGCAAACAATCCCCTTAACATTGCAGCGATCACTGCTGTAATGATTGATTTCCTTGTTTGTAAAAATTAAATAAGGTTCAGAAAAATCGTGCCTTTCGTGAAAATAAAACAAACAAACAAGCACCCCCAACAAACAGACAAACAAGCAAGTTGTCGATCGGCTAATGCTTGCAAGGTGCCCGATTACCTATTAGTCGAACACCCACCTTATATTGTTTTCCTGACTGATGTGTAACTTGGTGTGTCTTTTCGTTATTAATTCGCGGGCCTTTCACCCATAACAAAAATGAGAACTTAATGCACGTATTTTTCAATAATATTTCTCTTGTAGTTGATCATAATGCAAATCACACAGCAAAAGATGGGAGTCCTCCGAAAGGTCAGCCACCCAAACCCTCACCAACTACAAGTGCCAATGGAAAGCCCTCGAGTATCAGTACCTCAGTTAAAGTCACAGTCACCACCAAACACCCGTCCAACAAGCAAGGAAGCAAAGAGACCAAGAACAACACACAAGAGAAAAGAACAAAACAGGATACTAAGAAACAGGTGAGATATCTAAGGATCCTCCCAGATCCTTATAACATACAGAGTAAGTCAAAAAAAAGGTGATGACCGAGTATTTAATGAAATATTTGGCTCGCTTCATTTAATAGAAATAACAAAGGATAAAGAACATGTTATCGACTATAAGTGTGAAATTTCACGTGCATATAGTTCGCACACTAATCACAAGTATTCTCTATTTTAATAGAAATACCACAAAACTCGGCCGTTCACCACTGATTAATTACCGATACCCATTGTCGAACACCTTTTGTACACCATGAATAAACGAAAAGTTGCAAAGGAAAGCAGACAAAAATCGCTATCATCATTTCAGAAAGACTTGATTTTTTCCTCATATACAAAACACAAAATCCGACAGTAGAAATAATCGTTCAGTCTTGACTAAAACTATTAAAATGTCATTTGTATTAATGTCTAAAGATTAAAAAAATAAAAATACATAAATAGAATAACCGCGACCACGAGAATTCCAAACCACTGGCTATACAAAACACCTCCAGTGGATAAGCGCTTTTGGTTTTTTTATTACCATTGGAGTGTTTTCTGATGAGTATAGCCTCGTAAGCCACATTTGCTTCAAGCAATAATTATTGAGGCATTGATTGATATACTAATTTCCCCAAGCCAGCACTATACATCTTTCAGTCTTTGGAGATAAGTAAACTGAATTCTAATGAGTGACTATGGCACTCTTTTTTACTCATCAATTCAGGCGTTGATTGGTCTATTCATTTCCAAAACCCTACAGCAACACTTATATTCTTGGAGATAATCATTCAATTCTTTCTAGTGTGTGACTTCGAAAATCTCTATTGAGTGACTTCGAAAGTCTCTTTTTTTCTCGTCAATCCAGGCATCGATTGATTTGCTCATATCTCAAACCTTCACCAACTAATAGGCCTCCAACCCAGCCAAACTGGTTGGGACACTTGGAAATAAGCGTAGCCTCCCACCGTCACCCACTCCCCCGCTCCCCCGGTCAATGCTGTTCTCTCAAGCTGATGGAGCACACACCGCGCAATGAGAGACAACATTGAGCGGGGGCCAGGGGGCGCCAGCGAGATTTGGCCAGGATTGTAAATTATTTGAAACAATCACTACAAACGCCTGAGGTCTTCGTATCATATACAATAATCTTTTCATTTCTGTTTAGTCAAAGCCAGAACCAAAGCAACAAGCCAAGAAGGAGCCCAGCCGTGCCCTATCTCCGGACAGGACCACGGATAGAGTCAAGCTGTCACCGAGCAACGTCCGGGCCTCCAAGCCCAGGAACGAACCGAGTATATTCCACTATACCAGCACTAACCCCAGCAACAGGCGAGCAGGTACGTGCGCCATGAACACTTGCCGTCTAGTCTTTCACCAACTCTGAAGGCACTCTAAATGTGTCATGTGAAAGGCTATTGAATTCTTTCCAAATAAATTTAGTGATCACAAGTACTCAGGTGGCATCACGCCCACGCGCATGCCGCGTTCTTTCATTAACGCGTGCGTGTCATTTGAGTATCCCATTGGTCGAAGGAATGAAGAGTGCGCGCTATATAAGCAATCGAAAACTTACCTTACTACTTTTTTGTTGATATTATCCGACCTAATTCCAGATAAAACTTTAATGTAACCACTGTACTGTGAAGGTATCCATCTGATATTTATAGTATTTTAATTACCGTGATGTGACTGTAGAATCTTGATTGTTTCTTGGTAGAAAAGGCATCGAAGAAGGCCTATGATAAGGGAGCAAGTACCTCCAAGTCGGCCCAGAATCTGAGTTTATATCATGATAAGCCTTCCACGTCCTCAGTAATAAGGCGGTCGTCAGCTGAGCTCTATGAAGGCCAAGCTCTGGAGAGATTAAACGGATCGGAAAACCTCGATGACGAAAGGTAGCTTGTCAAAGTTTATTTATTTGAATTAAACATTTCTGGCAATGAGAGACCGAGAGTTCTTAAAACGTACACACATGTACTGTAGCTCAGAAGCCCAAGCAACTTACGTCAGAAGAATGGGAAGAAAATATTGCTCAGGTTGAGAACGTAGGGAAAAAAACCCAGAATAATTTATCAAGGAGAAACCCACGGAATCGGTTTGGGACTCAAATACCAACCGGGATTCGAACCCGGTTAACGGAGGAAGAAGGCGATGAAAGTTCCACTTCTAACTCCGCAGGACTATCCAGCTAACCAAAGATATTGAAGACCTGTGAGTTTCGTTCCTATTTTGTACGATCTTTCTTGCGGGTACGAATGAAAATCACGGAAAGAATTAACAGATTGGCTGGTTGTACAATTTAGCTGGATTGTTTGATTAGCTGAGTAGTTATTTGCACACTCGTTGACTGGTTAGTCGACTTGTATACGTTGGTTTTTGCTTGCTGATAAGTAGGATAATTGGTGTGCTGAATTGATTATTGCCCGAATACGTGGCTAATTTGATATGTAATTTGAGTGAGCTTCAGAAAGATTGCTAATACATTCTTGTACTAACCTTGATGTTACAGAAAGGAAGAAGAGTGGATCGAGGCCTCAAAAAGCTCAGCCGACACCCATACGAGGCAACCAATTGAGGTTGAAGTGATTGAAGCAGGTATGTAGAAAGTTACCTTTGCAGTACACGTACTTTATTTCAGCCAAAAATGTGAGTAAAAGAAGCTGTTGTTGAAGGCTAGCCAGTGCTGAGCATTTCAAAAAGTGATTACGGAAAAGCCACGAAAACTGGCAAATGTTGATGATGATGAAACATCAACTGTAGGCCTGCCTTTTGTCTAAGGTAACATCAATGGAAATTCAAATTAGGTATACCGGTACATGTACACAAAAGGCCCCATATACACTGAGAATAAAGGTTTATGCGGTACAAAGAACCATACGTTGAAGGCACTCAAGTAAATAACATTTAAAAGCGAATTTAACGAGCGAGAGTAGCTACCGAAAGAAATACCAATTAAGGTTTACAGTAAAACCCCAAAAGTGGGTCTATCTGAAAATAATGTTATTCCACCACGCTATGTTTTAATCAAGGTGTTTGTTTTGTTTAAACCCTTTTGCCTGACATCTGACATCTCGCAAATTGTCCGTGCATGAACAGACATTCTATAGTCGATAAGATCGATAGTGCTTATATCTATCTTTTTCAATCGATATTGTTGTGCAGTTCTGTACAGAAAAGCACTGCATATCAGTCAGTAAAAAAATAGTTCCTCTATTGAAATGCAAATTATACAAATCGAAATGATACATATGAAATGACCTTGATTTTTATAAAATGAATAAAGTATTGGACCAGGTAATACCAATACTTTATGTTATGCTTAAAGCATATGGGTGTTTGTTTGTTTGTTTGTTTATTGGGGTGTTTGTTTGTTTGTTTTTTAATTCTGGAAAATTCTGTGCACATTCTGAATAGAAACTGTTCTGAATACGGGGTGAGTCAAAAATGCGAAGCGAAACCCAAATGTCGGGATATCTGTTTGAGTGAAGTTCTGCATGTAGCATGTAGCACAAATCTAGGATATGAAAGCCCAATTCATAGCTTTCTTTTAGAACAAGAATCATTTAAATCACTAATGGACTTTTGAAGTTATGGAATTTTATAACACAACCACCGTTTTAAAGTTCTCTCCACGGATCACAAAAAGGTGTGTGTTCTTTCAGCAAAACGAAAACAATTCACACACATCCCCTTTTGTGATTTGTTTTCGTTTTGCTGAAAGAACACTGAACTTCTGTTGTTCCGTGGACAGAAATATAACGGTGGTTGTGTTTAAAATTCCGTAACTTCAAAAGTACATGAGTGATTTGAATGATTCTTGTACTAAAAGAAAGCTCATGGATTCGGCTTACATATCCTAGATTTTGGAAGTGCTACATGCAGAACTTCACTTAAACAATGGTCCCGACATTAGGTTTTGGTGGGTTTTTTTCCAACCTGTAGAACTAAAATCAGCCTTAGCTTTGGGCTCGCTGTATAGATATGCTTCACGCATTCATTTGTATATATATTTTCCACCCTTATCCTTGAGTATATCGTGTCGACATTTGTTCTGTAGTGGTCGGCCCTCTTGTATTACAGGGGGACGATCCGTCCACCACTTCAGGAGGATGGGAGAAACGAAAACCAAAAAAACCTGCAAAGAATCAGATATATACTATTTTGAGTTCTCTGCAGGACACCCATGACACGGACGTCCCAGTAATAAACTAGAAACTGCTCACGCAGACTGTATAATAAACAAGCGGGTATATGATGGCCTTGTCAATTTTTTAATTTTTTTTATTTTTTTATTTATTTATTTATTTTTTATATACATTGCTTTTAGCATTTATGATGTAGTAGCAGTACGTGACCATAAGGTGTTTAAAGTGTTAGTTGGTGGCTGCTGGCTGAACTGCTTCTGCTGACTGGCAGGCGGTTAATTGGCTGGTTAACTGGCTGAGTGGCTGCCTTGCTAGCTGGTTGGATGGATGGAATTATGGCTGAGTGGCTGGCTTGCATTGCAAGCTGGCTTGCTGGTGGTTGATGGATTGACTTGTGTCTGAGTGTCAGGCTTGCAAGCTGGCTAGCTGGCTGGATGGATGGATTGGTGGCTGAGTGGCTGCCTTGCTAGCTGGCTAGCTGGTTGGATGGATGGTGTGGTGGCTGAGTGTCTAGCTGGCATGCTCGCTAGCTGGCTGGATGGATTGATGACTGATGAGTGGCTGGCTTGCAAGCTGGCTAGCTGGCTGGATGGATGGATTGGTGGCTGAGTGTCAGGCTTGCGAGCTGGCTAGCTCGTTGGATGGATGGAATTATGGCTGAGTGGCTGGCTTGCATTGCAAGCTGGCTAGCTGGTGGTTGGATGGATTGACTTGTGTCTGAGTGTCAGGCTTAAAGGCTGGCTAGCTGGCTGGATGGATGGATTGGTGGCTGAGTGGCTGGCTTGCATGCTCGCTAGCTGGCTGGATGGATTGATGACTGATGAGTGGCTGGCTTGCAAGCTGGCTAGCTGGCTGGATGGATCGATGGCTGATGAGTGGCTGGTTTGCAAGCTGGCTACTGGTTGGATGGATGGACGGGTGGATGAGTGTCTGGCTTGCAAGCTGATGGCTATAGCTGGCTGGATGGATTGATGGCTGATGAGTGGCTGGCTTGCAAGCTGGCTACTGGTTGGATGGATGGACGGGTGGATTAGTGTCTGGCTTGCAAGCTGATGGTTATAGCTGGATGGATGGATTGATAGCTGATGAGTGGCTGGCTTGCAAGCTGGCTACTGGTTGGATGGATGGACGGGTGGATTAGTGTCTGGCTTGCAAGCTGGCTAGCTGGTTGGATGGATGGACGGGTGGATGAGCGTCTGGCTGGCGTGCTCGCTATAGCTGGCTGGATGGATTGATGGCTGATAAGTGGCTGGCTTGCAAGCTGGCTAGCTGGTTGGATGGATCGACTGGTTGCTGATAGTAAGCTGGCTAGTTGGCTCGACGGATTGATAGCTGACTGGCAAAAAAAAAAAGGAATTCGAAGTATGAATGGGAGATTGGCTTTTTGGGTAACTAGTCAGTTGGAGTTTTTCTAATTCATGTATGTATGTTGTGCTGACATAAAACACCATTAGCGGACCAGGGCTTAAAACACCATCATTGTAGTATCCCAATCATACGTGCCGATAGAACAATAGCTTACAAAACTCCTGCACAATTTCAGAAGTACGTACCCGTATATGCATAATTAGATTCATGTCCCCGGCAAGTGCAATGCACTTTGCATTCGTTTGTTTGCCCGTATTTACGGGCATTATTTAAAATTGACACCGTCGAATATCCAAATACGTCGGTAATAATCGTATATTTCTGCAATGATGGAAGTGAACAATACGCAGCTCCGATCGCAGTTACTCCATTACGGAAAGCTGCAGTAGGCCGGCCAGTGGACAATGCGGCGTAACCTCAGTGTGACTGCTTAACAGAGGGGATCTCAACAGCTGTTTGAGTATAGGCCTAGCTATTTTTAAGATAGAGAGCGTGCGTTCCATGAAGGTCATTCAACTCGGCCCACTTTGAATGAACCAAAACTTTCCCCTTGAATCCAACCTTACGTCGTAAGATTTGTTGCGTTTATAGGTGCATTGATACTATGGCTATGACTGTAAAAAAAAAAACCGAGGTGTGTTGAGGCACAACTGTGTGGACCAGACCTTTAAATTGGTGTATTCGTTTTTATATTAGTTCCTTGCATGTTTTAAAAACATTTTTGTTTTTTGTTTTCACTGATTGTTTCGTAGGCATAACCTGTTCAATTATCTGATGTCTATACCATGAGCATTTTCTGCGATGTCTGCGTCTGTCCCTTCTTACTTTCTTTGTTGATAAAAGTTGATTTAAATTCATGATTTCACAAATTCCGAAGCGTCGATTTTTACATATAAAAGACAAATATTGGATTATCGGATAACACATTTTTCGTTACTGTGGTCGTGATTTTAGTTTAAAAATGCATTTAAAACTTTGTTATTGTTGAAAATTAATAATTATGAGCTCTCATCGAAAATGTTTTCCAATACTGGACCACAAAGTGAAATTGAATTGAAATGAAATTGACGTTAACGAGATTTTTTCTTTAGGCCTTTGTATAAGTTAAATTTATCATCTCATGGTATCAAACCATATCTGCTTGTTTAACTGTGTGCAACCATAGGGGTACAAAAAAATAACGTAATCTCTTGTTCACTTTCCTAAACCGCAATTGGCTCCGATTCCATGCTCCATGACTTTGTAAAAATAAAATCAAAAACTTACCCACAGTATTAGTTAATTAACTTTACAGAGGGATGCAAATATTGTATCCCGAAAAAACTTATTAAAAAGAAAAATCACATTCCGAGGGGTTAAATTAACAACATTGGGATTTTTGGTTTTCGTCAGTCATTGTCGACTTGGCTCCTTCATCGGCCTGATGCCTTCTTCTACATAATCCAATTTAGGTATTTTGATTGTAGGGCGTTACTATTCTGATGCATGACCGCGTCTTTAAGCCGTCTAATTTCACCTTTTTGGATGCATTTTTCAAGATCATTGAATAATTGCGCACCTTCCCATTAGACTGGTTTTATAGATCTATTAAATAATAGATCGCGGTGAGTGGCAACCTCTTCCCTCGCGCACTTAAGACCTATAAATGATAAACGTAAAGTCTTTTACCCATTGTCCATTGTGGACATATTGCTGTCCACTGTGCTAGCCTGTCGGACGTATAGTCCCGTAGTAATTGGAGGTATTTGAATTGCAGTAGAACAACACGATTATGCCAGCAAAGCTGCTCCCGTGGTGCACATGGGGTTAAATGAAGGCCCACGTTTGGTGAATTCAAAATACCGAAATAAGTGTCGATCTTAGAAAAATCTTGATTTCATCCAAATGGCACAAGGCAATAAGATGATACCTCGCACAAATATGAACCAAAGATTATTTCCAATAATCTGTGACGTCATCATGACGTCATAACATATCAGATTACAAGCGGTTTAAAGTCAAGCCTTTACAGAATACTTGAATTATAAACGCTTCAACTGAAGTTCATATTTGTGATGTGTCACATGTCGCCTAGACAGGCAACATGAAAGTTCTTGAAACAAAGCTAATGCAGACGCGGTGCCATAGATTGAACATCACGCAGGGTGAGTCAGAATGATCTGGACCCAAGTTCACCTTTTGTTTTTTTTGGCAAATAGAGAATATTGAGTGTTTCATATAAAATGGACCGACAAACATATCCCCTTCCATAAGAATCGTTGGGGATGTCCGTGGCAAATACCACGTGAAGTCCATCACTTGGAGTGAATGATGTCATAAAAGTAACTGTACAAGATTAGTCATCCCTTAGGAGTACATGGGTCTTCTATTCTACCCATTGCTTTATAATAATGAAGTTAACTGATTGAAGTTTGTTATTATATCGCTGCAATTGAGGTGAATCGATTAAAATGGTATCATATATAGTCGATAGTGATCCCCAAATCCCCATTTCCTATCGATGGAAGCTCCCAGATAAAGCTGCGCGCGACTCGGTCCGTTATACCATATACGGTACGTGGACCGCTCCCTGCCGTGGGGATACCACGGTAGTGTGTCTCACATTATTACTCCGCGCTTGGCATGGTATGCGGGATTCAGCTAGCTGCTGGAAGTATAGTGCAAAAGGGCGCTGGCGCGGCGTGTGAGCTGCCGTACGTACGTGCACGATTATTAGCATCAGTGGGGACTAATATTAACCTGTATTCATCCTTGGTTTTAATTCTCATCCCAACTCTTGCGTAGGCAAGGACGACGTTGCCGAGGACAGCAAGCGGAGCCAGTCAAAGGAGAAGGCCGGAGATAGCGCGCTTCTGAACGGCGGCCACGACACTGAAAGGTAAGGCAAAACCCTCCGATTTCTCGCAGTCTTTTTTAATCTCCACCGTGGATCTAATGGGTCGGTATGCATGTCCCCTGTGAAATAATTCATCCTGGAATTCCTAGCTCACATCATACCGGCCGAAGCTGAAACCGATATGCCGCTCATATTGGTGAATGGATACAGGGGGCACATGGTTAAGGTCAAGGGTCACTTACAAAATATGATTAATCACCAGGCGTAATTATTCATGACATACCCTGCGGACTCGCAACTAACCGGGGTATTCTGTTCGTGTTAACCATCACCAGCTAATTGCTCCTGTTTGTTGCACTTTAACGGCATCCATCATAGACATCGATATCATGAACGAAAAGCAAATACGATAACTCTGCACCTCATCTCAGTGCATTAACATATAACCAAAGGTAGGCCTACCTGCATATTAGTTGGGCAACATTATAAACATCTAAGGCCAATATGCAATGCTGCTCCTACTTTGTAATTAACTGGAAGTATTTCTACTACAAGGTGACATGCAGAATATTGAGTGTCGTTTACTTTGGCGTAACATGGGCAGTTCTATAGTGCAGGACACATATTTTGGACTGTTCAACAGTGAGCACTGAGTAAAAGTTACAATCATAAGGTGAATTTAAATTCTGATAAAATATATCAGTTATAGTTGCTACAATGAAATTTATAATTAAAAAAAATCAAACATTTTTTTGGCGGTAGAAATCGGCTTGATACACAATGATATGGGACGTACTCAGACAAATGCAGTTTATGTGTACTAATTTGTATCAGTTAAAAGTAACAGCTGAACTGTGGAACATTCTCAGCATTTTCAATAAATTAAGCTCCAAAGTTAAACAATGTATACACTTTTCGTTTGTGACATTTGGAATTATGTTTTACTATGTTTTGGCATTGAGGTGTGTATATTTGTGGAATTGCCCAAGGGGAAATTTGCATTTTAGTGAAAAGGCTGTTAAAGTTGGGCGTTGCAACTAATCCTCTTTGGCATTCATCATAGGCCTAGGCTACTCCCTGCATGTGCATTGCATGTATATTAATATTCTATGTATTGTTTTTGCATCACGACCTTGGGTTGTTTTAAAGGCACAATGCAAATCGATCTCTGGTGTGTAAAAAAAAAGAGACAAAAGTAGAAAGCTGGTGTTTTTGAAGTTGATGGTGAGATGTGTAACTGAGCATGATGGTGAACAATAGATTGCCCTCATTTGCATCCACGGTGCAAGGCTGCCAAATACACTACGGTATACGAAGTAATTAGGGCTGTTTACAAACGTTAATGGCGTGAATAATTTGTAATATGGATTTGTTTCTTTCAGAGTTGGAAATGGGAGTATTATTTTGTATTTTAGTAATTAGGCGTATAATTAGGGATTGGAAAAAAAAAATTATTCTTTGCTTTCGGTAGCAAATATATCTGGATGCCAATTGACCCTATGCCTACGAAACCAGAAACGAGACGTATACAAAATGTAAATAGTCACGTTTTAGTGGTAGGTTGGTATTTATAAGCTGTCTTGTTATATATCTCATTTAAAACCTTCAAACTGGCATATAATTATGTGTCATTACATTTTATGCAAAACCTCAACAAATCCCCGTCATCTGATTGGTAGGTCGTTGATCCCATGTCATTGAATTATTCGTCCCACCCAATGGTCCGGCTGTACCACGAAAAGTAGAAGTTCTATTTCACGGTAACACGATTGGTGTGGCTCTGACCAATCAGATGACGAGGATTTATTCAGGTGTTGTATAAAACAAATAATGACTGTTTCACAGTCGTGCAATGGAAAAAAAAAATAATTTCATTCGGTAACAGATGGAATGTCACCTTAAGAACTGATTCGTACCATATTGTACTCATAAACATTCATTATTTGTATACTACAGGGTGAGTAAAAAAAAAAACGAAACCCAAATGGCAGGACCAATTTTTGAATGAAGTTTTGCCTGTAGCACTTTCAAAATCTAGGATATGAAAGCTGAGTCTAAGCTTTCTTTTAGTACAAGAATCGTTCAAATCACTCATGTTCTTTTCAAGTTACGGAATTCGAAACACAAACACCATTTTAAAGTTCTGTTCACGGATCACAAAAAAGGGAAATGTACTTTCAGCGAAACAAAAACAATTCCCATAAGATGAATGTGAATTGGTTTCGTTTTGCTGAAAGAACGTTTACCTTTTTGTGATCCGAGGAAGAATATAAGTGATTTGACTGATTCTTGTACTAACAGAAAGCTCATTGATTGGGCTTTCATATCCTAGATTTTGAAAGTGCTATAGGCAAATTTGGAACCTCATTCAAAATTGGTCCTGTCATTTAGGTTTCGTTATTTTTTTTACTCGCCCAGTAGGTCTATAAACGTGAAATAACAATTCTTCGTGACCGGGGGGGGGGGGGGGGGAAGACCCGAGGGATTGGACCAAATACCAGAACAATTTACTTTGTAATATATGTGTATGAACAAGAGTGGTGATTTGTTTCTTCTCTGGTCAAAATAATGAACCCATTATTCATGAATTTGACATTGACACTAAATCAGCACCAACAAAGCAGCACAGACGTGCGAACACTTTAAAATAAATAATGCATTCAGTGCATATTAAATGCAGTGCCATTTTTTTTTAGTTTAACTTAAATGCAAATTTGATACTGTGCTTGTCTTTCGTGCTCTCTGTCTCTCTCATTCTGACGAATTATACTTTTTAATTTGAGGGGATGGGATATTCTTGAGCAATCAACTTGTCAACGCAATATTCAGAGTCGTTAGTTTGCATATTTTTAGGTTCTCCAATTTCACTGTTGCCATTACTGTCGCAGATGATTGCATGCATCAATCATTTACCAGCATGGTCGATGAATGATAATTGAGAAGATTGAAAGACGTGATGAGTATACATTGATATATGTACCGTGTTGTATTTCTTACAAGGCTTTCATCGCCTTTGAAATCCTTTTTATGGGGAGTTACCTTTTACTTCATATCACCAGCCTTGATCAATGGATAATTAAGTCTTGGCTAACGAATGTTTGTTAACAATTCCCAAAGCGAAATAAGCTACAAATATTGTAAAGGTAAGGTTAATTTAGGTCAAAGGTCACTTTTTAAAAGCGAATGTTATATTCGAACTGCTGCAGTATGGGTCTCACGCTCTCATGCTAAGAAGCTAAGTTTAGTTCAAGCTCCTGGGGGAAAAAAATGAATTTCAACCGACAAACATTGGTTTCGCATCCAGATCGCTGCAGCCGACTGGCCTCTGGCAAATGCTGCCTCCTCTGATATTATCGGTATGTGCGCTTCTCTCATTCAGTCAATCATCTTACGGCACTGCTCTGCACATCTGGTGGTGGGTTCGCCAAGAGTGGCATAAATGTAAATCCGTCACTGGGCTGGATAATTGACGCACATATCGTCTGTAGCAATTTATCCAAGGGAGATGGGTTTCACCTTCTGCAGTATAAATCACGTACACGGTCGCGGGCTAATTTGACGGGGAGTATGCCAAAAATATTGCATGAACTGAACGTAGTGAAGGTGTTTGTTTTTGCTTGTGTTAACGGTCTTCGTTGTTTATCCAAAGTACTTGAGAGTGTTGAAATGTCTTGAGAGGGCAACTGAACCGGCACAAGTCAAACACGGATCTCACTTTGGCGAATTAAGGGGCTGTGTTATTTGAAAGGTAGAGTCCATCATTTTCAGCTATCCAAAAAGTAACTGACGAAATTATTGTTGAAAAACACATTTGGTTTAAAGATTGTAATGGTACTAAACTCCCTGTGAAATTATTCGTTCTGGCATGCTGTCATTTTGAAGAAAACAATAACGGGCCTTTTCCAACGATGCTTCTAAAGACGCATTTTGGGAAATTTGCGTTAGGTTGTTCATTTTTAATTCGCCGAAGCGGTTGCTATTATTCGTCAGTTAATAGCTGCAATCGACTGAATGAGAACGTGTCCCAGACTCTGATTTCGGGTACAATTCAAAGCAACTTTTGAATCGAAATCGAGATCCTAGAATGTTGTTTTCTCGGAATAAACAGCATTCACTGAGCTGAAACTTCATCAGGTTAGTTGTTAAGCACTCTTCTTTAGATTTTGAGCACTTTTAGTTGCTCCAAGCAGGGAAAAATGCACAAAATGACAAATGATGAACTCTAACTTTGAGTGGATTTTGTTTGGTGGTTCTATTTTGATATTTCTGAACACTTGGACAACATTTTTTTTATGTCAAGATGAGATTGCCTTAAATAAAGGTTCACATACTAAAGGCAGAACGATGATTACATTAATGTTTAAAAAAGAAATAGGCAAACAGAGGATTGCTTACTGACATACATGTAAATACATACTCAGGATGTCAACGAACAAAGCTATTTGCAACTAACAATTTGTTGGATGTTTACTCATGCCATCAATAACCCGTTACGAACGAAAAATTATTAGCAAGAATGACATAGACCTGAAATTTACAATCACCGGTTTATCGTAATATTGCCTTTGCAAGGGTAGTCTGGTAGTTGGTACCAATCTACCACTGCTAATGAAGATTATGCATGCATGGACAACATGTGTTAAGGGCATTTTATAGTGAATCCATGCAAAGTCAAGGCCTACACGTAAAGTGCATCTATACTTTCCTGTTTCCATGTCGGCGCATTTACGGGAAAAAAACGTGCTTGAAAGCCTTTACAAAAATGGGCATTTTGGTATGGGCACAGTTATATTACTGTTTGCTTTAACAAATCACTCTCGACATATTTACAAATAATCTTTTATTTTGATATGAATATTGTCCAACTCCCATGGTTGTGTTAACACCTTTTTGAGTTTTTCCCACGGTGGTGTGAAACACGCCGTGGGCTTGAGCTGCTTATGATGGTGGGTTGTTGGGTTGGTGGGTGGGTGGGTTGGCCGGGGTGGGTTGGTTGGTGGACAGTTAAGTTAGCTCGTGCATCACAGCTTGGCCAGTGAGTTTCTATGGAATACCTACAGCTTTGTGACACTGATGTGCATGCGTCTATTTTGATCACGCCCCATTGCATTGCAAAATTCGCGATAATACTGTTCGTGGAACCGCCGTGGGTTGTACCACTTGGTACTTGTTAAACTTCTAAAGGGGAAGTATTCAGTACAAAATTGTCCTTTCAGTAAAATACAAACTAAAAATACAACCTTAAAATGACGCGTGTCTGCTTCGCGGTACTCCTCTTTGAAAGAGACTGTCGCCCATCAATTATAGATTTCGTTTGGAGGGAGTTTCCATGGTAATATAGCGGCAGGGACGTCACGGTACGCGCGCAATCAACCGTGCCTGGTTATTTATGAAGGTAATCAAGAAAACAACCCCGCGAGCCAGGTGGGACAGCACATGAGCCTGCGGCTGTACAGGATGCTGCCGTTATTAATATCAGCTGTTAAGTGAAAGTATAAGGAAATGGTATACCGAAAAATTAAAAAGTACAGTTTCTACCGTTCCTCCGAACCGTATTCACGACAAGAATTTCAGGGGGAAAATTATACTTTTAGGCACTCTTTTCTGTGTATTTCATTTTTTTGGTATGGAAATCAAACGAATAGATATGGCATTTTAAAATTTAACAAGGGGGGTTAACAGCAGTTGAATATTATTGCAATTTAACATGACACTAGCAAGAAACGAGAGTTTATCATAGTTCTGAATTGTCTACCATACTTGAGAATGAATTGTTGCAAAGCACTTTGGTTGACTGCGCTACAATGTGACTGCCCTTTCAGACTGTGAACAATATGCTTTACCTTGCGCTTGTCTAATGTTTGTAAAAACGAGGAAAAAATGTGTATACAAAAGACCACGTGGTGAGATGTTTAAATGCACATGGTCACATCAAAGGGCTAAAACATTTTTTCTGTAACTCAGATAAGACAAGCTTAAAAAGCTGGTCCAAAAGCGCACACAATTCTATATTAAATTGATCCAGAATGGGCTTTTCTCTTAAGTTTCGTCATGCATTGTGGTCTACGCAATCAAATTGATTATACCCATGGTTTTCGCCATCGCACTTTGAGATACAGGGGCATTTTGCAAAAAAAAAACAACTGTCATATGCGTGGCTCATCCAACTACTTATCTGGGTCCACAAAGGTGCGACTTATGCAAGTGTACGTCACAAGTGAAAGTCAGTCAGTCAGTCATTCAGTCAGATACCAAGAAGACAGTAAGCTTGCACCTCTGGGACCAGACATTTCAAAAAGTAAAGTTGTTGATGTTTTACTGCTTTATTGACCCGATGAAAGCGTCGAATGAATCCACGTCACTTATTTAGCAGTTGATCCCACGAAACGTGTTTCACGATCAGCATGCTAAGTCGCGGACCCTCATCCATTTTGATTATACTGACCTATACGAGCCAACAAAACCAATTAGCCTACCCTTCCAGTTAGATTTCCAGCCTTATTTATTGGACAAATTATCAATGATTTGTAAAAGTCGGTCAACGTATTTGACCTTTATTTCGTCGAGAGGGCTTGAGTTCTGCATGCGCCGCGCCGAGTGTGCGGTGCGCATGTTGCAGTTCAGACTGAGCATCGTTCTCAGTTTTAGCAGCTCGTTAAATTCCGAAGCGATTCGTATATCTTCTAACAATGCTATATACTACACGCGGCACACGCCTCTTTGTAGTCAGGTTGGCGCAGTGGTACTTTCCTCACACCTTCCACCGGAATGTTCTTCCAGTGTTTTCTTCCCACCTCTAAAACTGAACATATTTTTATTGTCTTCTCCCTCTAAGTTTCTGTATAGGCTTCGCAGCTTACGGTGCTTTACCTCCTTGCAAAAAAAGCCAGAAACCTTTCATTTACCAGAAAGAATAACAAACAAATGTTTATAATAATAATCATTTAATGATTCCCTCGATTTTTTCTTTACTTGTTAGGGTTGGTGGCGTGCCGAGTCTGTGGGTGCGCAAGCCGCAGTTGGATCTGGGCACCAGCTCTGGTTTAGAGAGCAACTCTTTGATGCAAGTTAACCTGAAGGCAGCTATGTACACAAGGATGTTTGCCGGAGACTTAGGACCAGGACAGATCATTGATCCAGAGACGCCAAGTATGTCAAAGTAACATGCCCCAGACCTTAATGAAACTGTGTTTCGATTATGAATTAATGAAAATTCAATTTTGGTGTTAATCGAGGACTTTACATTGTTCTTTTGTTCGTTCTTAAACCTTTTTACTGTACCTCTCGCTGTTGTTTGCATACTTTTACCAGAGGACTCTCCTCATTTGTATTGGATTCATGTCCTCATACCAATCAGAAAAAAATAATTTTGTGCATCCTCGATTTACACAATTTTGGCATAACTGGGGTCCATTTTATGGAGCTAATATATTTTCTTTAGGGAACACTCGACTTTTTTTGCCATAATTCCAATACTTACAAGCTCTTTTGGTAGAATTCAAAATCTGGGTATAGTCTTGGCAAATAGTGTAACCAGGATCAAAGTGGGACCTGATGTGCCCAACGTACCCCTCCCTTATTTTGAAGCAAGATAACTTGTCTAGAATTTCTCCACGCAACCTTTGAAAACTGTTGGAAGCACTCTGCAGTTGATTATGCTACTTGTCCTGTGCTCAGTTTTGTTGACGAAACTGTCCATCTATTTATGTGGCTTTCAACCTTATCTTAATTTATTCAGAACTTCTTAATCAGAAGTATGGTTTGTGTTTTATTGACCAACCTATTTCTGACATATTTGCGAAAACAGCGCTATGAAATATTTGGGTTCGAGGTGGCAGCAAGATTTTGGGTCCTTTCTTGATTGTTTTAAAGGCAGTCTTTCGTTTGGTCATGCGCACAAAGGAGTGGTTAGCATACGGAGCAAAGTATGATTCGTATTTCATACTTAAATTATGAAACACGAACATATATCATAGACATGTCAAAGTGACTCCAGACTTGTTATCTTTGCCGCCAGATTTCTACATATACGACTCTTACTGGAACATTGCGAGCTCTCGTAACACAGTCCGTATGCGCATGGTCCCTTAAATGTCATACTTGGAGTAAACATATATACCAGTTTGTTTGCTGCCACCTAGAGTTCCCAAAGTGTCTCAGTGTTGTTAAGGTTGTTTGCAATGCTCCTTCTTCCAATTCAATGCTCACTTCTTTCCTTCATCTGTTTCTGTACCTGCTGTCTTTATATGTCATCGCTCAGGGCAATCTGATGTGCTTCTTCACAGAGGTAGGGGCGTCCATCCATAATAGAGTCACACATAGTCATCCACCATAGGTGCATCCAGGCTTGGATCGAAGACATTTTGTTGAAACTTGAGAAAAACATGTGCAAACAAGGAAACAAGGATTGATTCCCATTTCGAAATTATAACAACATAAGTACCTTTTTTATGTAGTTTTGAATTCCAAATGCAAAGGGGGGTACATGGAATACATTTTAACCAATGGGCTCCCAAGATGAAATCCAAAGGCAACCATACCAACTAACGAGGATCAAACTTCTTTGTCGAAATGTATTCCTTGTCCATGTGTGCATGACAACCGATTGACCGGATGTGGTTTTCAGGAAAGTGAATGTAAAATACCGAAATGACTTTTTTCCCCTTCGTTCTTATGTGCGTAGTTTTCACTGCAGCTCTGTTTAAGAAGCACAAGCAGGCATATTCTATAAGGCCACATGGTCTTCAATACACCTTCCATTTTATAAAAGGGGGAATCACAATACAAATTATGCGAGAGCAAATCTAATACCTGCATGCACAACAAACAACATCTCCTTTGCCGTGTGTCGTCGGAGTTTAGCCTTATAATTATGAACCAAGCTCTTCACTAGTTGGGGCCTTGCCTGGATGCTAAGACTATACACCATTGCCATAGGGCCTAAACACTTCCATGTTGCAATCATAACATTACCACTCATAAATTCACATCGCCACAATACAAGTACTTGTACCTCAAATGCACAGGTAACTTCGCATCGTTCTCCGAAGTAATCAAACATTTCACTCCATCTGGCATCTTATTACAGCTGAAGTGAATCATTTTCCTGCACTTCTTTCCATTCCACAGTAAAATAGCATTAACCATTGCATAATTTCACTAATTATTGTTGAACCACAGTAGATCGTAACTTCAAATTATACCTTCTGTAAATCACATTGTTGGTGGTAAATCACACTGATGTTAATTGGCAATCCATAGCCACTCGATCACTGTCACACCATCAGCTCTATTCATGACTCCATGATGCATTTCAACCATCTGTCATTCTTCATTTTAATTAAAAGGAGAATTCAAAATTGGAACCAGTCCATGTTAAAACGTGAAGTGGGTAGTTGACGTAGACAAAATACTCACTTCTGAAACGATTATAGTAAAATATTGCCTTTGCCCTTCTCATGTCTGGCATGTCTATTAATTTCTTATTGGATTATGGTTGGTAATCGGCTGGTAAACCAGACTCCTCTGCAGCTGCATGTGGACTTTGCAGCTTCCGTCATAATCTGTAAAGTATTCGTTGCGCATCTTACAACGGCGCGAACTCATGTCCCAGTCCACATGGGAACACAATGTTAAAGGAACATTTGCTTTTTTATGTTGTTTGGGGGTTTTTTTTGGGGGGGGGGGGGGTGGGGGTGGCGCAACAAAATTGCTACAAATTTCCCCCTCACTGGATACTATAAAGAACAATTGGGTGTATCCTAACATGATTCCGTTGCGCAGTAAACAAAATTCCCACGGGCACATTTTCTTATAAAGAACCATCATCAGTGATTGTTTTTTCCCGAATATTACTATTTCATGCGCAACAATTTCACAGATTATATGATACTAGTCTTGTCTCTACTTTGAGCAAGGATTTTCAAATTAGGCACGTCCCAGGTTATTGCAAATGTTCCTACGTAATTTAAACGCGCATCATCACATCATTAGTTTCGCTCGTACCCCCGCCCCTGTTTGTCTTCTATCTTCTATCTATAATTATGCACCCTTCCAAAAGTGTTGGGCAATTTTGGTGCTTCAAAGGACAATGTTCCCAGCGCCTGTAAGTTACATACCAATAGTGCTTTGCGATTCAATTGTACTGGCGAATCACCGGAGCTGATCGGGATTCAATATTTCAGTGACCCCTTTTCTGGAGTATATAATTTTAGCAACTTGTTATCTCTCTGTCGTCCACGACACCAAATCCAAACTTTTCCGACTATGCATACAGCGTGAATACTCTCCGTGACGTCACAAATTCGCGTTGGCGTTCGCTTTCCCGCGTATTATAAACCGGTGTCAAAATGGAAGTGGACTCCTATGAAATCTGCTTTCGTTTACCCTGTTGTGGACTCTAATCCGCACACGTGATTTGTCCCCGTTCTAATTCTGTCCACTAAGGCATGCGCAATACAACAAATGAACCTGTATTTTATAGAGTTCAAATTTCACACTGCACCGGCCTTCAAACAAAACTTTAGCCGTACCAGCTTTAAGCTGTTGCAAACCAATGTTTACATTTACAAGTGGAAACGTTTCTCATTGTATTCACTGCATGCTCATATTGTTTTCTGCCAGGAGACTATGATACGACTGGCGAGATTCGCTTGGGACTCAAGAAAGAGAGCAAAGCAGATGGGGACCAGTTATACGTAGAGGTCATCCAGTGTCGGAAGATCAGCTACAAATTCAAGACGGAAAATCCGCCAGGTAAGACCTGGACGTGTTGATCAGTCGTCGACTGGAGGGAAACTTATTATGACATCATTGTATTTAATGCAAAGTCCTTACAACTCAAGTTCTTCGGTCTTACGTTAGTTCAGACGTTTGAAATTAACTTTGACTAAGTTAAACTTGTGTACTTGACTTATGTAGTTGTAAATCGGCGTTTCATTTCACTTGGGATGCACTCGACAGCAACTCTGATGTCTTATCGGCGTGTGTGTTAGTCCCTCTTCCTGGCAATACATGCGGTTTTCCGTATTTTATTTTAAAGAGGATCCGACTTGTAAAACTTGTATTTCCTTAAAAATCAAATGCCAGAGTAATTCAGTGTTGGATTCTAAAGGTCGCTTGTGTATGAAGGCTATTGTTAGGCCAGGTAAACTACTATGGAGACATTCTTGAGGTAAGATCAAGATAAGAAAGCCGACTAGAGTGGAACTGGAATGTGGAATCTCCGATTTATACATGTCGGTATTCTATCTTCAGTACCACCAGCCTGCATAATCCCGAAGTCCATTTCAGCACCAAAGCACATCGATGCCACATCGATGAAATTAACACATCTTTTCTTTTCTCAGCAGTAGCGTACCCTTTGATCTATTTTTCTCCATCAGATCTGTACGTGAAGGGCTACTTGGTAGTGGGTGACCGGAAGGTCTCCAAGAAGAAAACCCACATCGCAAAATTTACCAAGGAGCCCAAATTCAACGAGGTCTTCATGTACAACACGAGTGTAACAGGCCTGGCGTTGCAAGTAGGTAGTCATGCGTCCTCACGACCACTGTCCCCGCATTAAAAATGCATTCTTTTTTTTTGTTATTCTGCCACCTTGACGTTTCACCTGTGCATGCAATGAGTAAGTTCAGGGATGTAAGTCCCCCCCCCCCCTCGAAAATGGTAATGCCCATTTACATCCCTCCAACACACGTTCGAGAGCGAACCATGGTAATTAACTATTGACAAACTGACCCCGTACCCACGCCGGTCTACTTCGGTAATTGGATTAGTCTAGTCGACTACTAGTTTAGTCGACTACTAGTTTAGACCGAAGTGGGTTCCATGCTTGTTACCAATAGTCGCGCATCATAAATTTATACTGCAGGGAGCCAGAACCTTTTTGCGCCACTGAACGAAACCAATGGTCCTCGATCGCACTTGCCCAATTTTGAGGCTGGGGAATTATTAAGAACAACTAAAAAGGCATAGTCACGGTACACTCATAATCAAACATTATTCATAGTTATGTTGGCAGTTCTCGACCTCTTCTTGAGAACAAGTCAAACATGAATCATAACGCACTCCGATGTTATTTCGGTCGTTCTCGAACAGTGCCTTACAATTTTTGAGTCAAGCCGAAACATAAATAACATACTTTTTCAATTCTTTTCAATTGGTTTAATCATCGCCCTTTGCAAAATTAAATTGAAACTATTTTTCAACCTGTTATTTTTTTTCATCAGGTCTCGCTCTGGGCAGACGGTGGTCGCTTCGGTAGAAATACGCTGCTGGGAGATGCCATGATATGGCTGGATAATGTCAACTTCATCCCGAATGCTGATTCCGAAGCTTGGTACAAACTTTTACTCGCCTCCAGCAAATCACCCTCGAGCCCCTAGCGACGGCGCCACGTATGGGAAGGAGGTCATCTTTTGTGACTCTAATCATTTGTTTCAGGAGCTTGTAATCGATGGCTTCAACCACGTCCGCACTGTGGGACGTCTATAAGAAAATGCCGTGAACTATCATTGGTCACTTGAAAGGCATGTTCTGGCGAAATACTTCTTGCTATATGCATATTGGTCGTGTACTCTATAACGTTCCTGAACGATCACTGGGTTTATTCACCAGCAGCCAACATACCTTCAACGTTGGAGCGGGGAAGGTCTTTGATCGCATCCGAATTACTTGGTGCGCCGTTAGTAGCACAAGTGTTTTTGGGAACTGGCTTCACCTGCTTCCAGAGGTACGAGTAATGGCGTAGTCAAGTAATTGGGACCCGGCCTAATGTCAATCCGCGACATCACAAGCTCCCAAAACACGCCTGTTTTAACTCAAGTCGGAGAGGAAATTCTCAATCAAACACGTACTGAAAATAACTGGTCAGTTGCTGGCTCATACACTCACGATACTTCATAAAAACCCCAAGGCGCAATCGAAATTTTTAATATACAAAACTTCCACAACTCCAGTCCAAATATGCTTCAAAACTAGGGCCTACCTCCCAGTTCTCATGATTGTAATGTTTTGGTTGCATTGGTATTCGTAAATGATGATGATGATAATAGTAGATATAGATTATGGTAGTGCACATGGCCGTCAAAGTCATCAACATACCTCCACCAATTGCACACGGGAATCACGCCCTTGATTACCATGTCATTCCAAGGCTGTGGACTGCCGAGGCAACCGTGACCGAGTTTCCATCCTTCACGATGTATCTTACTGCAGAAAGCTGGAAGGCCAGGAATGTGCATTCTACAAGCTGGAGGGAATATATGTTGTCTGAGAATTAGTCCGTTGAACTATATTCTTAATCCTCCTTTAATCCCAGTGCCCAGCAGCACCTCATCAATTACTCTAAATCCCGGTTTCCAGGCGGACAGCTGTTCATACGCAGAACCTCTTGTTTCTTTATGTTAAAATAAGACTCTAACCTGCATATCCCTTGAGGTGTTGATTTATCGATTGGGTTTAATTTCTTCAAACATAATTTGTATTCACTGAAAGTTTGATATAACATTAACATCTTAAATCTATTCCCATGAATCGGTATCGAAATAATATTAGCGAGAACTGTTTAACCACCAACGGAAACATAACTCATAAAAATGGTTAAAAATTCGGAAACGTAAATCTTATGTTATATTCAATTCCTTCTTAATGATATTCTTGGGTATTTTCTTCTACAAACTGTGTTAAAACACCTCCTTGTTAAATGCTTCTGACGAAAAGAAAGCACTTGACATGGCTTTTTATTATTGTATGCTTCTACTCGATGGTAAAACTTACAAAATAAGATAACAGGCGACAGAGTTGGTGAGGCAATACACATTATTCATAATATTGCAACCAACCACTGTATAACAGTTGAATGTAATTGATGCAGTTAGTCTGACAATATAGAGATGGTGTTATGCCCTCCTCGGAAGGAACACGCCTTACAAATTCAGGCATCGTCCATATTTCCAATATTGACGGAACTATAAGCGGTGCAATAACGGTAATTAATGGATTTTTAATGAGCCAACTGTGGTATTATATGCCGGAGATGCTACCAAATTTGACCTGGGTTCATGCATGATTAAGAAATCCTTGGTGGCTATACGATGCTTGTCACCATTGCTATGACAACACACGCATCGTTGCGCAAAACTAAGAGGCATTGTAGCCGGTTTGGGCCGCCACTACAAAAACAAAATGGCGCTGCTGAGGACAGAAATAGGCGGTTTATAGACCTTTCTACGCTTGGTTGGCAAACTGCATTTTTGCCAACCACGGGTTACAAAACTATGGAAGGTCCAACACTGCAAAAATAAAGAAGAGTTATTAAAGATAACCAAAATATTATTTGATTGTTGGAAATACAACATTGTCAACAAAGCTACAACATAATTTTCTAAACATGCCTTAATTTTTACTTTGTATTGAGGGCGTTGGGGGAAATTTTTTGGGTAAAACATGTTGCCAACCATGGCTTCAATATATGCGCTTGCGGCAGCCATATAAAATGGCGCCAATGTTTACAAACAAAAGAAAGGTCTATAGGCCATGGTTTTGAACATATGAGGGCGCTGTAACAACGCCATTGTCTGGGTAGTAACAACGTCTCCATGGATACGATATCTTGCTGCGCCATGTTGGTTTCCATCATGCCCTGCGTTAGTGAAATACTAATACTAGAAAAATCCTACTTACTTACGCCGTTTCGTAACTTTACTTAAATCTAAAACCTAAACATAGAAAAATGTAGTGTTTGAGCAGTAGGATTGTGCAAATTGATGCACACCCAAAATGCCGTAGTTACAGCGCCCTCTTCGTTCAAGAATAAGCACAGCAAATGCTTGCTTGACAAAAAAAAACAGGTTACCAGTTAAACTGCCTCGGTATAATAAATGGTATCTCTGCTTAGTTTTGGTAAGCACATATATTTGATCATCGGTAATTCTCTGCCAAGTGCTTCATGAAAGTGGGCTAAGGTATTGCCTCTTTTTATGTCTGTGAGTGAGCAGATTTTTTTTACAAATCTGCGAGGGACCTATAGCCAAATATATTTCTTAAAACATACTCTGACTGTGTGCTAAATGCCATGTTTTAATAATCAAAGGCACAATTCCCCAAGTATAAGGTGGAGTCGGAGGGCAATGATTTTGTGTCGCTGGGATAGGCTTTTGTCCTGTCATTGAAAAAAAAAAAGCCTCTGAGATTATATGCAACGCATAAGCTCTATTGATTAGGCAGGTAAATATTGAAGTGATTTAGCAACATTTTGTTCACTTGACGATATATGATCGTGAGGCCCTGACAAATCCGGTCTTTTGGGGTGTACGGTCAAAATGGTACCCCAAAAATAATGTTCGGTTGAATTGGACATGGCCTTGACATTGCGTTGGTTCCCATGGTGAAAATGGCGCTGATCTGCAACGGGCAAAACCGAGAAAAAAAATTTGTGGCGTTTTCACCACTAAGAGAGCCAGATTGCAGGGAAGCGGAGAAGACTTGCCTCTTGTTTTTGTTATCTAAAGGGCTGGCACCCAAAGTTAATTTTTAATCTAAACCAATCGGTCTTTTTTTTTTTAATTGAAACTTAAAATGGAATCATTTTTATTTATCCATTATCCTTGTATAGCTGTTTGTACAAAAGACACTGAAAGTGAAATTTTACACCCGATTGTCCGATGTAATAATCTCTATTATGCACGTGTATATCAAACATTATTGTATCAAATTCTGTAAATTTCCTCCGTCGTCGTATTACCCACTCAAAACTGATGGTATGGGGAAAATGTACAGGGAACGGCATATTAGTTGTGAAAGAAATATTTAAGCGAAGTTGTATCGTGAACGTTTTTGTATACTAAGAATCATTGTGTTTGCGCAATTGTGCAAGATTTTTTTTATTGAGAGTCGCCTTTCGAAAGGCCTTTAAGAGCCACCTAAGGTGACGGCTACACAAAGAAGGGATAGAAAAGGAAATCTGAGAAAACAGTACTTCAATAGAAATATACCTATGGCATGTACCTTTTGTTTATAACTGTTTATAAGTTACTGCCTTGCAGAAGTTACCAATAGCTTTTGTTTTTCCTTGAAGGGGAAATCGATTCCTTGGGGGGGGGGGGGACAAAGTAATCCACAGTGTTAATTCTGTAAATGATTTACTCTCTTTCTTTTTTTAAGAAGAAGTACGTTTGTGTAGTTTTAAATTTCTTCTGTCTGTTCCGAGGTGGCTGGTAAATTGATTTGGCACGCATTTTGTTCTTTTGAGAGTGAGCAAAATATTGATGTTGTTTGCCGATTTTTATACTGGAAATTGGATGAAACAAAGCTAACGCATTGAACGAAATACATGTATTTAGTTTAAAAACCAGACATCTGTTGTGACCCAATGTAAAACACGAATGCTGAATTGTGAGCGTTTCTCAAATTAAAATGATTTAATCGAAACGTAAACCGATAAACTTTTTTACGCCATGTTTTGGAAATGAAATGCTCAAATCCAAAATGACTGCAGAACTAATAGTTCTACCTCCTCATATCGGGATCTGTTTTGATGGGATTTTGTTTCAATTGTGGGCCACTCTTTTACGTGACGTGCAATGTTAATCGTTGAATGTAAGCAAGTATGGTTTAGACATTTCCTTTAAATGTATTGTCAAGCTCACGTAATGCAACAATGTTCTTCTATTGTGCTAGTATATAACTGCTACATTGTTTGTCGAGGATAGATACGACGTTTTCATATTATACACATACATGTATGAGCCATTTTGAATTTAAAATGTAGCAAAATGGTGGAACTTTTCGAGTGACATATTAAATTCATGCATGCCTTAAAATGAGAAAGATAATTTAAAATAAGACTAAGATTGATCAGTTTTATTTTGTAACTTAATCGATCTCATTAAGAAACGAGAGAAACATCTCCAAACTAAATGGTTCAGTTACAGTTGGAAGCACCCTCTTTCCAAGTGCGCTCTTGACGCCAATTGCAATCTCTCCAGAACAATTTATATCCACTCTTTTGAAACTCTTGTCATGTTCAGTTGTTTTGTGTTTGTGAGTGTCTGTTTTTGTTTGTTTGTATTTTTAAATTATACAGCAGGACTGTGTGCTGACGCTCAGTAAGTTATGATCAGCTTCATCCGGTGATTTAAAAGTTACCATGAAGCAAATGTGGTTTCCCAGATATGAAAAATATCACATTTGTTTGGATGTTCCAAACTCTATTGGCAACGTGGCCACGCAGGCCCTACCCTAAGCCTTCTTAACATATGGATGGTATAAGTATTTAGTGATTTGCTAAACAACTGATGTGATTGGTTGCCTTTTCATAGTTAATCGTAAACAAATGCGATATGATACCTTTGTAACTTGCTTTTTTTGGTAATAATGGGTCCAATTTATATACTTGCTACGAAATAGGTCAGTTTACTTATGGCTTGTAATTAGCGCTGTGGAAATTTAAAATTGAAAAGATTTGGTGTGAAATTTAGCTAGACAACGTAAATTAATCTTTTTACTTTTTTTCGCACAGATCGTGTCTCTGTGCAGAATAACACTAGATAGGATTGAAGAGCGGGATTCCACCTGTCGCACATACGTGTACATGGCAGAGCTTTATACCACTCTCGCCTGATGCTTACACGCGCAGAGCTGCATAAAACGGGAATAATTTTACAAACCATATTGGAATTTTGTTTCACTTTCCCGCTGTAACCCAATATTGAAAGGCAGCAAGCGAAACCGATTAATTAGCAACACGTTACTGCTGAAGCACCGACCCTATCCGGGGTATGTGATAATTTTCAATTTGCATGGTTCTGAAATGTGATAAATTTAATGATGAATTTTCAGCAAGTTCCATTTACAGTATGTAAGCTATTTTCATATCATCGTACAAATAATCTACCCTTCCCAAATTCGTAACCAAACGCATTTTGGATGATTTCGCCTAAACCTATCTCTTCACTTTGAAAGGTGATGATAACGGTGATTCTATGCATGTTTGATGGAAATTATTATCAAGACCAATCTGCTTTAATTTTCAATGTGGTGCTTTTTAAAGGTGCAAAGATTTTCCTATTTCCGACTTGAAATGAAAACTGCTTTGTGCAGGATTAATTTGAAGTCATCTTAAGTACCTCTCCCTTGCCGTTAATCGGTTTTTGTACAAAACAAGTACATTAGTTTGCCCGGTACATGTGGTTATGATACTAGCAATGCGTGTTCACCATAAAGGAGTGTTCTTACCATAGATGACTGTATGCATAACTTTGTAATAAATTTCCTTTACACTTGTATGATTCTTGATCAAGTAGCCACATTAGCAATATAGCCATTACTATACATGTACCTTATAATTGGTACAATACAATCGTACAAGAGTCCACTTAAGAACGAAATGTTTTTATCACTGAAACGTGCAATAAACTTCTTGTGCCATTGTGTAAACTGTCTCCCAAGAAGTATTTTTTTGGGGGGGGGGGGGATTTTCGTCTTTTTCGGAAGAATATTTGGTGTTTAAAAAGGTATCCGACTGAGAGAAATTTAAAAATCAGTCAACTGAATGCAAACTTTGATATTACATGTCTAATCTACCAGGCAGTTGGCATAGATTGACATAAATGCAAAGCTGACCAAAACGTTCAGGGGATAAGATGCCGCGTACTGTACATGTACTACTGTTCTACTGAGGCGTGCCGTGGCCTCGTGGTCTGGAGCATTTGAATTCGTGGTCTGCGAGTATTTCTCGTACGTTACACAATGTAAGTTATGGGTTCCAGTCCGCCAGGGGTACGGTGTGTGTGCCCTTTGGCAAGGCACTTTGTCACTCATTGCTTCTCTTTGTCACTCATTACTGCGAGATCTTTTCGTATGTTACACAATGGAGGTTGTGGGTTCGAGTCCAGCCTGGGGTATACGGTACGTGTGCCCTTGGACAAGGCACTTTGTCACTCACTGCTTCTCTCTACCTAGGAGTAAAATGGGTATCCGCGAAGGCAGAGATGGTTATTGTGGTTGATTTCCTGATTTGCGCTGAAATGGCAGCATCGAGCGGTATACTTTCCAGGGAGTTGTTTCTGAATTTAGAATGTTTCATCGGCCCAACGAGCAGGGGTAACAATGATGTAGCGCTGTAAAAACCAAATTCTGTTGGATAGTCTGAATACGTGCGCTTTATAAATATACATTATTCACTGCTATTTCGAGGAGATGGATCAGGAGCAGGTTTTGATTCGTCGACAGTAGCATTGCGTATCGTTATCCCTTCAAGGTCAAGGTTGGGATATGATAAGGATCAGTTAGGGCGGTTTGGGGTAAAACGGGCACTATCAAAACCACTAAGGAGTCAAAAGAGAGGTGAGGTCATTGTTCAATATTTATTACGTACATTAAAATGCAGCAATTCCATTACCAAAAACATGTACTTATCTCTCAACAAAATTGTTATCGGGTAAATCACAAGTCGAATCACAAGTAACAGGTGATGAACAATGATAAGGAATAAGATGTAATTTGCGTTGGGGTGATGTCGGTGAAGGGAAAAAATAATGTTACATTTACATCACCCGGCCCCAATTCTATACGAATAGTTTAACCCTTTCATTGCGGTACCCACTGCTCCATCCGATTCAAACCATCCAACCGATCGCGCAAGCTCGGTGGTCGAGTGGTAAGACGGCTGCACAACATGTAGAAAGCAGGAGGTCAGAGGTTCGAGTCCCACCAGAGTGATTCTTTTTCCAACTTTCACACGGTGATAACACACTGAGTAAACAGTGGTTATACGTCGGTTAAGGGCAACACCAAAATATTAAATGATAAGGAATGTTTTGCCACATTCGATATCAACTCTGCCCCCAACTAATGAGCTCAAACTTTCACAGCGTTATTTGTTCAAATAATTATTTGTTCACCTCTCTATTTGGCTGCAACCTCCTAGTACAGTGCAAGCAATTTATGTTTTGGTTTTTAGCAGATCAACTAATTCAACACAACACACTAAAACGTTTCTGCTTACATCACTCTCTTGCGTCGATACAACTTAAGGAAAGAGGCAGGGCAATAGGGCTTTTTTGAGACCGTCACAAGAGAGAGGTTCGAGGAGTTCCTGGCGGCAACAGCACGCGAGTGCGAGAATACGTTAACCTGAGATAAGCCTTTTTTCGATCTATAATTCCACCCGCCCACAATTTATCGCACAGCATGCCTGCTTCATGCATATCCGCATCGACTATTCACTCTCCAGCTGATTTATCACGGCCTTCAACCCCTGTCCTCCCAGAGGAAGAACGCGTCAAAAGTAACTCTGACGAAACTGTCCTTCCCGAATCCCGCGTCCTTCCAGAGGAACACATCACAAGTGACTCAAGTATCATGTTATCACCAAGGAAACCCCCACAGAGTTGTCCCAGGCATCACGTTAGGTACATTAGGTACAGGCATGTACTCCATCCATTACTATATAACTTCATTGTCTGTAAGCTGCTACTAAGTCAGACAATTCTTTTCAAGCATATTGTGAAACATTTCATTACAGCCACTGGTAAAGTTTGTGAAGATATGTCGGGAAACAGAGAATCTGATGGTAACATGTGTTTAATTAACAGACGTGACACAGGTAACATTAACTTTACCCACAGCCGTGTCAAACTATACTCATGTATTGTGTATTTGCTAAGCTATTTTTTCCATGTGAAGGTTAGATTGTAACTTTGCTATGATGATACAATGTACATGTGTGCTGCCTCATGATGAAAATGCCATATTATGTTACCCTCTTTCGACAATGTGTATAATTAAATCATTTTTCTTGCAAAACAACTGTACAGTAGCCCAACTTTAGCCAGTGATGATAAAGACATCACTGTTGAAGAGCTAAAAGCAGAAAACAGAGAACTGAAAAGAAAGGTCACAGCCTTGCAAACTGCAATAGATAAATGCACATGTAAGAAACGCAAGGAAGAAAAATGACATTTTAGAAGAAAATAAATGGCTTCAAGTGTCCAGAGATGGTTAATGATCATGTACAAACAAACGATAGTGGTGGCAGCTATACAGATAAAATGAAGGAGTGTGTGCAAGCTGTTAAACCAGAATGTATCAACCAGACCAGTGCCATCTGTGATTGAAACTATCATAAAGTTAGCTGGAAAAGATTTTACAGATCTACCAAGTAAATCAACTGTAATTAAGTGGAACATACATGGTACATGTATATGAGATTGTCACTTGCACAAAGGCAACCTGCAGAGGAAATGCCAGGGACTTCACACCTAGCTGAATCAGAGTAGATCAAGATAAAACGTGTACAGAGACGTGAACAGTACAAACTGGGGACTCTGGCAGAAATGTGCGTGAAGTTTATGAATATGTGGTATCTCTTGAAGGTAAAGCTGAAGTCTCTGAAGGCACAGCTGAGCTTTCGTCAACACGTTTTACAGCAAATACCTGTCAACAAGGATGAACATGTTTTTGGCTTTTTCAAAGAATAAATTGCATTGGGTCTTGAGGAGTTGAAAGGCAATCTGAAGCTCAATTCAGAGTCATTTCGTTTTCAAGCCCAGCAGGCTGAGTCAGATGATGGTTCAAGGAGGTAGCCCCAGCAACTCCTATAGTGGTAAAGTGGGTCAGCCATCTATGTTCAACGGATGGTGGTGAGGAGAAGCGACGGGTTGGGAAAGTCATATCTCAGGTTGGAGTAACACTTTGATAATTGTTTCCCAATGTGGTTGTCATCATGGACTGCAGAAATACAATGAATCTAACATTGATTCATTATTATCTTTATCATCAGCATCAATCTTTCTTTATTTCTTTAAAGCATGTTTGAACTAACTGTTTTCAGTAAATACATTTTTGTTCTGATTAACATGGAAACTAACAATGTTATGACAGATAAAAAAAGGTCCACTGTGATTATAATTCTTATATGTTCCTATACAATCTGTATCATTGTTTTAATAATACATGCATCCACACAATATTGCCAAGAAATTGAAACTGCCGCAACAGAGTACATGAAAAATCACTTGAAGACAACATTTGGTGTTAATAGAAGAAGTGTACTCAACAATCTTCATGGTTTTGATGTGACTACAATGTTGACTCAAGATATCATGCATGTCATGAACGAAGGTGTCCTTCATTATAAAATATTTTCTAGTTTTCCATGCAGCCAGTTCATTTCAAGAAAATTTTTCTTATGCCCTAGAAAAGTTTTCTTAGTTTCTTAAAAAAATCTTGAAACAAGAATATTTTAAGAAAAATCTAAGAAAATTTCAAGAAATATTTTCTTATAAGAAAACATTTTTTTTGCAGTGTACATTTTGCATAAAAATATTTATTTTTCAACTGGTGTCAGGAGAAACGCTGTTGCTGCTGGCATAAGAATTTTTTTCCCCACCATATCTGTTTGTTTTTTTCTGTTTCTAGTCATGCCTCAAAAGAAGAAAAGGAGACGGGTCCTGTCTGTAAAACTTGGCATGACTCGACAGTTGAGTATTTGACAGGAACTTTTAGTGCAGTGCCTGACGATGGACTAAGGAATAGACATGCATTGTTTGTCTATGTTTAGAATGAACGCTCTGCCATCAAACTTTTCAAAGTGTCAAAGCAAAGTTTGGTATATCTGCACATTTATCACGGGTAAATATTTTGGTGGTCAGAAGCCTCAGCAAATATTAAAGAAAACTGACACAAGACAATGAAAGAAGAAAGTTTGAAAGTATCTGTCAAGCACTTATCTACAACCATGAAGACCCCTCTGAAGCTTCTCCCAACCCAGAGTCTACTCCATCTGCAGCTTTTTTTTCTACAGAACCGGCTACATCTTCACCTGATCCATGCAGCTCATGCATGCTAGAGCCAGATGCAAGTCCGTCCACAACTTCAAAATTTGTTATAAAACGGTTTCTGCAAAGAATCCCCTCCACAGACTTGATTGGTTATGAGATCATTTCAATATTGGGGAAGAGCATTAACACAAGAACTCCCTGATTTTGGACCTCAACATGATCGGAATTATGAATTACATTGTCCAGATGTGAATGAAATGTATGAGACTCCATGAATATCTTCTGTTTTACATTATATTTATTTAATTTTTTTTCAACTGAATTCACGATCATAGTAAAACGATCAATATGTTTTGAATGTTGTCCTTTATAGCAATGAAAAGTAAATAAGATAAAGACAAATGTACATTATCATCCGGTCGGCAAAAGCACAAAATGAATCGGAAAGCATGCTGGATCTAATAACATGCATAAATAAGTGTGGCTAAGGGTCATCCTTCACTCACTATTAAATTAAACTCAAAAGAAGAGTAAACTTTTACTGATATAGTGTGAATGGGACTTGTTGCTTAATACTGGTGTTGACTATTTCATGATCGTCTTTCACAAAATTGTCCTGTGTGCAACTCTTTTTATTTCAGCCACCAATATTTTGATAAATTTATCAAATATGGAGTTAGGCGAACAAGCCCGAACCGTGGACAAAACCTTCTGCAAGTCCCTGACAACAAGAGTAAGGGAGTTCGTGGACAACACACACCAGGCCTTGCTGCTACATGTTCAGAATGTTGGAGTAAAAGAATATGACCAAAAGAAGGTAATTAATGTTATGTCTAAGCGCCATGTAAATGATTATGAGACGTTTCCAGAGGTTGGCAAAGCACATTTCTCCCCAAAATCCCTGAACTCTTCCAGCATAATCTTGATTTATGATTTTTGGAAGGTGGTCAGGGACAGCTGAACCCTCCAAACCATTCTCATCTTCCGATTTCGATCCTTATATATTAATGTGCACACACCATAAAACAGGATTGCCAATGACATGTTTCTTTCGTTTATTTCAAAAGAGCTTGTGTTTAAGCGGCTATTTCACGAAATAAAAAGCCACCGTGTCTCATTTGCTCCCTTATTTTGTTGTAACTATTGTTTGTAGGTTGAGGGTAAAATTGAGGGGAACAAGTACAAAAGCTTAAATGTGCTGTTTTTAAGTAACTGCAAGTCTAGTAATAAAAAGATGCACGTTTCAAATGTCCACGGTCTGCCAATTTTTTGATTTTTGTCTCCCCCCCCCCCCCCCCTCGCCGGCACAGATTTAGACCAGTGGTGTACATGCATATCAATTATTTCCATAAAACAATGCCATTTCAAAACATTCACACAGGCTAATGGGTATCGCTACACTGTGATTGGAGGCCAGCACTGCTTCCTGGCTATGAAGGCGCTTTCAAAGGAGCAACCCGAAAAGGGACAACTCCTGGCCAGGAGGTGCGTAGTCTATGCAGGACTGAATACAGAGCAAAGCTTTGGTTGTCCAACGAACACAACCGCACAGGACAACTGAGACACGAGATTTCGTTTAAGGACAAGGTGGGTACTTTGTTTAATTGATGAGAAATATCCAATTCAAAAATGAACTTGTATCACACAGAGTTAAGTTCTGCAACTTATACTGACGCAACGTTATTGCGAACTGATCTAAACTGTACTGACGTTCAAACTATATGAACTGAACCACACATCGTCATATCGTATTGACACGCATTTTGAAGTTTTAGATCTTGGCTTTATACATGCCAAATGGACCTGTTATCCCTGACAAGAATACAAATTGTTACAATTATATTTCGTGAGTTGCATTTTACTTTATTGTAAATACCAAAACCTATATATCGGTTATGTTTATGTTCAGGTGGCAATTTGCAGGAAACGACTGCACAACATGCCGCAATCATCATATAATGATATATATTAACCAGTCCTGTAATTGGCGGTTTGTTCTGCTGTTGGATGTGGATAATAAATAAATAAATAAATATAATGTGGCAGAGTGGAAGAAATCATGCTGTGTCATATTAGATGAGGTACGATACAAATGTATACTTGGTAGCAATTGTCATAAACAATACGAACATGTAAAAATGATTAAGAGCTCAATTTATTGAAATCATTATTTGACAATCACGTCACGACACATTGTCAAGAAGACCAGTTCAGGGGTACTAAATATCACACCCATATTTGCATAGTTATGCCTTAATAGCTCCGGTGCTCACATTGTTTGCAGCAGCCCGCCAATAATTCCTTTTTTTTTGGTTGGACTTTTAACTATCCAATCCTTTGGTGTGCATAATGCGTGTGAAGTCACGCCGACTTCATGAGCAATGGTTCAGCACAGTGCATTTAACAATTACTCCCTCTTTCGTGCACTTAACATAGCTTGTTACAATGGTTATTTTCCAGTGCGAAATTTAGAAAAATTATAAGAAAATGTTGGTTGTTTTACATCTCCCTGCAACCAGAGTCATCAGTTTTATTGTTATTTTTGTTTACTGTACAATGACAGTTTGTGAAACTGCAATCTTTGCTATGTCTAGCTAGATATATGCGCAACGTGTACGTTTTCATGCAACATAAAGTGGTCGCTAGGAAAATTGGTTCTTTGACCTCTTCACGGAGTCACGACTCACTGCTACAGCGAATGTCGGACACTTCGCCCCATTTCCACGTCGCCCCATGTCACTTCGCCCCTAACCACATCGCCCCATCCCCACTTCGCCCCATTCCCACATCGCCCCATCCCCACTTCGCCCCATTCCCACTTCGCCCCATTCCCACTTCGCCCCATCCCCACTTCGCCCCATCCCCACTTCGCCCCAGCCGTTACATGTAAAAAAAAATCTCATCTATTTTATTGGCTTAAAAACAATTCCAACAGATTCACTAATTGCTAACCAACGGAAATAATTAGCCCACCAAATGAACAATTCATAACCAACCTCTCAAGCTATCACTCTTCCCTACCGAGAAAAAATTTGCTTGAAGTAAACTGGATCTAACTTTGTTCCCAACCCGGCGCTATACCAACCCGTCTCCCACTTATCTGAGAACGACATTACCTTTGACATCCTAATTTCACTCTTGGACATGTTGGAGGAACCGATCTCATCTAAATGAAGTTGTAAGTGTCACATATCAGACAAATTTTGACGGAACACTTTCCCTCAAGGCAGTGAGTTCCTTTTAACTCACTGACCCATTTTTTTTTCAATGAAAGATGATGTCTCAAAACCGCCAAACTCACTGGTTTGACTGGAATTCTGCTGCTGCACAATTTTAACGTGTTTTAGATGGGGTTATGATCGAGAATAAGCTTAATGTAGCCTCTCTGAACTCCCATATATTTGCACTAAGTTTAGTGGGGCGCCATTTGCAGTCATCAGTCGACATTTGAAGCAAAAAAGTCAGGTAAAAAAAAAAAAAAAGCCGTGTCGCCGCACCACTTTTTGGACAAGCTCCATACCAGAAACCGGAGACTTTTTTTTTTTTGGCCTTAAGCACATTTTTTATTCACAAGCCAATAGGAGAGGCGTCTCTGAATGGGATAGAGCCATCATTTCTCTCATCTGTGTCTCGAGCACCTCATCAGAGAGTTTGTATTTTTCCTGAGTTTCTAGAATTGGGAGCATTTATTATCTGGGGTCTTTGGCTGTTTATTTGGTCTGCACCCCTAGCCTTCACCATTTTCATACTACATGGGGCGAAGTGGGGATGGGGCGAAGTGGGGATGGGGCGAAGCGGGGATGGGGCGAAGCGGGAATGGGGCGAAGTGGGAATGGGGCGAAGCGGGGATGGGGCGAAGTGGGAATGGGGCGAAGTGGGGATGGGGCGAAGTGGTTAGGGGCGAAGTGACATGGGGCGACGTGGAAATGGGGCGAAGTGTCCGACACCCGTCCACCCGCTACAGCATATAGACCGTGTAACAAAGTTCCGGACAACGATGTACATTAATTCCCTTTAAAACGACACTGATAAAAAAAAATGTGTTCGTGTTATATTGGCCATAACTTTCCACTTACATGCGTCGTACTGATCTTTGTTAACAGTCATTAAAATAAATTTTATTAACATGTAACTAAACTATATAGCTTCTTGGTTTTCTTCCTTTAGATCGAGTAAGCTAATTAAGTTAGTTTGTTCAGTTCTCAATTTTTATGTTAGGAATGAGAGGTGACTAGATATACCCTCAGCTGATTACATTATACATGTACTCTTGAATACAGTAAGCGTGGTGACAAAAATTGCAATTATGTTGGTGTGACGTAGAAAATACAATGTTGGGCCAACGTTTATGTGGCGTGGAAATGAGCAAAATGGCCTTTATCCAACGTTTACCCGCCAACGTACAAACAACGTTGATATGACATTAAAAATAAGGTCGGAAAATGAGTGCAATGACGTTTGTCCAACGTTCAGGCCAACGTGCACACAATGTAGAGCCAACGTTGATACGTGAAAAAAAAGGTTGAGAATTGAGCGAAATGACGTTTATCCAACGTTAACGCCAACTGACTACCAACGTTGATGTGACGTAAGAAATAAGGTCGGACAATAAGTGAAATGACGTTTGCTCAATGTTCAGACCAACGTACAAACAACGTTGGGCCAACGTGAATCAGCAGTGCAAGTTTGCGTTGGACAAACGTTGGTGTTTGACGTTAGTATGACGTGGAAATTTGGGTTGGTAATCAAACGTTTAACGCTAACGTACAAACAACGTTGTTTTGACGTTAACACCAACTGACTACCAACGTTGATGTGACATAAGAAATAAGGACGGACAATGAGTGAAATGACGTTTGCCCAACCTTCAGATTAACGTACAAACAACGTTGGGCCAACGTGAATCAGCAGTGCAAGTTTACGTTGGACAAACGTTGGTGTTTGACGTTAGTATGACGTGGAAATTTGGGTTGGTAATTGAGCGAAAAGACGTCTATCAAACGTTTAACGTACAAACAACGTTGTTTTGACGTAAAAATACGGTCGGAAAAAATGAGTGAAATAGACGTTCGTCCAACGTTCGGGCCGACGTAAAAACAATGTTAGGCCAACGTTGATATGACGTGGAAAGAAGGTTGGGAAATAAGCGCAACGAAGTTGATCCAATGTTAATGCCAACCTACAAACAACGTTGGTATGACGTAACATATAAGGTCAGAAAATGGGTGAAATAACGTCTGTCCAACGTTCCGGCCAACGTACAAACAACGTTAGGCCAACGTGAATCAGCAGTGCAAGTTTACGTTGGACTGACGTTGGTGTCTGACGTTGATCCAATGTGTCCTTCGTGAATTCGTGACGTTGAGTTAACGTCGGATTGACGTATGCTTGCTGTCTGGGAAGGATGAAAAAAATAAGAAATCCAGAAAATGACAAGATCATCTTTCAGGAAACATACAAGCACTTTATTTCCACTTTGAGTGAAGAGAAATCAACCAAGAACACATCACTCACAGGGATTGTTCATCTCACATGCCGTTCCCAAACTCTGGAACAATCTTCCCATTGAACTACGACAGTATTCTTCATTGCAATAAATTCAAGTTACATGTATTTCTTAAGACAAATGTGTTCACCTCAAGGTTTTCAGTTTGATAAACATGTGTTGTACATAATGTATGCATTTTAATTGCTCACTGTTGTAATAATGCCAGAATGCCTAACTCACAGTGATCAGGTACATGTAATTTACAGGTTCATATTACGTTTTGAAGTTGTATTGCACATTACATATTTGTTGTAGCTGTGCAATGAATCATACGTGAACATTCACATGTAAACATAGGCTACACAGACAGAACTAGACATCCATGATACTGAGTTGCAGGCACTGAGATAGCTGAAGGACAGTGGGTTAAGCTTTGGTGGGTTGAGAAGAAGAAAAATCTGAATTGTTAAGTTCTAATTTGTTGCCGGTATACTAATCACTTAATTTTCATAACATAATAGACCATGATCATGTTGCGACCATCTTACCAAAGCAAGGCTGGAAGGAAAAACATAGTCTGGTTCCTTTTTGTACAAAAAAAAACATGATCATTCAGTACTGTTGGATACAGGGAACATGACTGAAATGGTGGCAGCATGATAAAAGTCTATGGCATGTAAAGATGAAGGTGTTATTATGAAGCTGTTATTCAGATGCGCCAAAATCCAATAGCATATCAGTTGCAACCCAGTGTCAGCACGCCAAATCATCACTACGTGAGAAGAGAGCAATCGTCCTGGAAAAAGCCATAAAGAGGAAATTTGTAATTTCTTGAAAATGATGTACTCTCCACATCGGTAGAAATTCCAGGCCCCTCCCATGCTACATGTACTAGGGGAAGGACATTCATAAAAAAAAAGGAACTTGAACAGATGAGATCCCTTAATGTACAACAGCAAGTAATTTCTACAGCAGCATCTACCTTAGAGAAAGAAGTGAGAACTCAAGAACATGAGCTGAGAGAGCAGTAGGCCACGATAACGATAATAGGGTTGGAAAAAAGCTTGTCCCAAAAAAAAGAGACAGAAGTGAGTCAAAACATCTTTTAAAAGAAAGACGTGAAAAGAAGAGCTCAGACTTTAAACGATTACAAACCAGTGAAGAGCGCTACAGACAGAAAACTGAGCACCTGGTGCACCTGATAAAGGGGACACCTGTTAAATGGGTTTTATGAATTCTTCTTATGTAATGTAATAGTTATTACATTGTATTGATAGGCGAAGTTGAATTCATGATTAAAGTGACATTCATTGGTAATTTATTAACGCCTCCAATTCATTAGACTTGAGTGCTCGCATGTTTCTGTGTCATTTAAACTGATTATATTCCCCCTTATGTGATTGTGCCCATTGCCTGGCGGTAGATTTCCCCGAAACGGATCTGCTCTCTTGGCCTAAGCTAGACCGCTCGCTGCCAAGGCCAGGAACTTTCATAGCACCGGGTCAGGGTCGCCACATATGGTGTCAGAAGTGGGATAGGCAATGGTTCACTAGAAAGGATGGGAATCAGGTTGACACTGTAAATTTTGCACAAGCAGCAGGGCAGTCTGTCACATGTGAATTGGTAGATTTAATGTATTTTTTGTGTGAATGTGGCACTTGAGGGTGACCATACGGCAGTAGCTGAGAAAAGAGTTGAATGTGGCACTTGAGGGTGACCATACAGCAAGAATTGTAGAAATGCATGAGTAAGTGGGAGTTATAATTGGCTGATTGAAAAATTGAGAAATAGCACACTCGAGTGGTGGGCTGAGCAGACGTGCAACTGTTGATTGTTGCCAAATGGAAGCAAATACTTCAGCCATGGACTATGAAGAAGAGCTGGCACAATTGAGAATAGATGTGCAGCATGGTGAGGATGAGTTAGAACAGTCCAGAATAGAATTTGAGCGTTTGTAATTAGAGAAACAACACATGGAAGAAAAAGCAGACATGTTGGAGAGAGAGCTCCAACTGTATCGGCAGAGAGAAGAGAGAAAAAATACACGTGCATGGCAGACACCTGATGCAGGTGATGCAGAAGTAAAGTTTCGCATGGCACCTGTGGCATCCAAGCTCACATCAGGTTATATGAGTATGGGTTCCGATCACAAAGAAAGTGTAAAGAAGAGACGGACACTAGAAAAGTCGTCCTACAAAACACCAGCAAGAGTGACTAATTCATTTGTGTTCAAAGGTGCTGTGGGCTGGGCCCCACAGAAACAGTCAACGGTCATTAAGGACAGTGACATTAAGGAAAATGTGGCTAAGAAAAAGGCGACAGAGGAGGCTGAGGCGCCATCCCCGATCATGCCATGGCCGTTGAAAGAGATGAACGAATAATAGGAGCTGAGGCACTCAAGGCTAGGTTGGGAGGGGTTTTGAGGAAACCCAATATAACCCCAGACCGCTTCAATGGGAAAACCCCTTGGAAGGACTACAAGGAACATTTTGAGTCCTGCCGGTTGGTAAATGAATGGACCGATGAACAGGCTGCCGTGTTTTTGGCTGCTAGTTTGCAAGGGACTGCACTGAAAGTCCTTGGCAATAAGGATAGAGAAGGGAAGAAATATTCCTACAAGGAGTTGATCGGCTTGTTGAAGCGGAGATTTGGGCCAGGTCATCAGGCAGAGAATCACCTGATGGAGCTCCGTCACCGAAAGCAGGGACCAAAAGAAAGCCTGCAAGAATTGGGACAAGCTGTGAGGCAGCCTTGTCGTACCCAGAATTTGATGATGAAGGCCGGGAACGGTTGGCCAAGGGCCATTTCTCGGATGCAGTAGAAGATCAAGCAACAAGGGAGGGCATATTTAGGGCAAGGCCCAAGACGCTTGACGAAGCAATACAGGCTGCAATAGCCACTGAGAATTTTGTGAAGATTGAGGAGCAAAGAGGGGGCAGGAAAACTCAGAAGTATGCCTGTGCAGTAGATGGGGAGGTAGGTCGAAATTACTTTGAAGAATTCAAAGTGACCATGGAAGAGAGCCAAAAGCAGTTAGAGAAAAAGATGAGCGAGCTCATTGATTCTAAACTGAAGGTGGCTCGACGCACAACCGGAAATGGGACAGGGACACTGGATAGTGCCAACTGGAAGAAAGAGTTGACTTGCTTCAACTGTCAAAAGAAGGGGCATTTTGCCCGTGACTGCAAGAAACCTGATCGCAGGATCGGATCGGGTTCGGGAAACGGCCAACAGCAAACCCTGGTGCCCGAGGGGACGCTGAATCAGAATTAGGGCACTCTGAATGTAAAGTACAAGAGAACAGGGAGAAGAGCCTTGTGTTACCTCCATCAATGGCAAAATCCAGGAATGCTTGAATTTTATAATGCATATTGGTTGAACCACATGCCAAGCTGTAGCTAGATCACAAAGTACACTTTGAAAACTGTTTGTCATAATAATATCCACTCGAATTGTGAAATTGTTTTATGTGACTTGGTGGCTTCACACAAACTCTAATACATGAAACTTTGTTGTGTTTTATTCGTAGTTGACCTTGGCAGATGGGCCAGTTATCTTGTCGGCTGCCAAGATATCGCTGATAAAGGAGGATGGCCCAAGGAAGCTCCTGAATGGGATGACAGCCACTTTCACTGCTGAAGAATTTTCAACGCATTCCCTTTACGAGACCAAGTGCAAGCTGCACAAAAGTTCAACTCCCAAGTCTGCCCTCCCTGCTGACAGAATTCTAGCAATGAAAGGTAAATGTTAATCCTAAGCACTATGCACGCTGTAAATGAAATACTTAATTGTTTGAAAATGTACAGCCCACATAAGCTTACTGTCCATTGCAGATACATGTATATGTATCATATATGTATGTGTATCATACATGTAAGATCTATAATACACTTTAGAGTTGCTAAAGTCAAGAGGAGAATCCTAAAACAGGAACTCATGAGTATATTTTTACCTGGCAATGTGTAATTTTTTGAAAGAATGAGCAATAAATGATGAGAAATCATGTAAATCAATATACCACCTTCGTTTGTTTTTCAAATATCTGTATTTTCTTTTCATTTGTTTACAGAATACATAAAGAAGGTTTACCCTACCTACACCACTGCTGAATTCAACAAGCATGCCAGTGAAAAGCTAAGCAACTCCAGAAGATTTAAGCCACAATGAAAGGGTGCACAAAATGTCTCACAGGAGTGAAACAATTTTAGAATGTTTGATGGACAATTTAGGCAAGTTCTCTTTTTTCTTTCAATAATGGACCCCACGACGGAATTGTTTTGTTTTATTTTGCAACCTTTCCCGTACAACTGTGCCTTTCTGAATCCATTCACTGTTCAAGACCGGCCTATTTTTGAAGGTTCACCCCATAACAGTCTGTCAAATTGTCACAACGATTTACTCATATGCTTTAAGGCATTCACTCACCAAAGTTGCACAGCAAGATCTGTTAAAGTTAACTGACACTGTTGTTGGTCAAAATAAAATACCAAGTACACTGTACATATTAAACAACTA